CACAACTTTCAAAGCACAGCAGCACTCAGACCTCCACGCCCAGCCCAGCCCAGCCCAGCCCAGCCCAGCCCAGCGATGACAATCAAAGGACGGCACGAGCCTCGTCCAGACAAGCCTCGTCCGGACGCCCCACGCACCTGCTCCGCCTGGCCCCTCGGGCGCGTGTGCCCGGATCTGCAGCAGCGGCTCAGAGTGACCAGCGTTCCGCGGCCACAGGTGCCTTCGAGCCGGCGGCCCTGCCCCCGGGAGCTGATTGGGCGGGACGAGATATTTGCATAGAGGGCGGGCACTTGGGCGTGGCCCCGCCTCGGAATTTCAGGGGGCGGGGTCTCAGGCTCGGAGAGACACTGAAGATGCTTACAATGCGGGAGAGGGACGGGAAGGGGTTGGATCAGGCCCGCCAGACTTCCCCGCCCGCTCGCACTGCTCCCCCCCCCCCCAGCCCCCCTGTGATTCTGACCCTAATTTGGAGCGTCTCTGACAACTGCCAGCCTCAATACAAGACTTCCTCCACCCTGGGTGAAATATAACTCTGTCCCTGACGGCCTGAGACTGAGCCCTTCTCAAAGCCAACACTGACCCTTGATCTCCCCCAGATGGAGGGACTGCAGAGTCACCTGTGTGACCCGCCACCTACAGGAGAGTGACAGACCCCCTCCGCTGCTGGGTGCCTTCCTCCACTTCAAAGGTCAGCTGAAGGGGGCCTCCAAGCCTGGGCACCAGCTCAGACCTCTAAATGCACATCTTCCCTGGGACCCTAGCACCGCCCAGCACAGGGCCAGGCCCAGAGGGGTGAGTGAATCAATGTGAAAGAATTACAGGATGAGGATAACGGACGGGGTAAACCTGAAGAAGCCCCCAGCCTGGAGGAGGCAGAGCAGCCACCACACACCCCTCCAGCCCCGTGGGGGTCAGGATGTCAGGAAGCCTTCCCAGAAGAGGGGACATTTACTGGGCCTTGAAGCTGGAGTAGTAGTTTGCCCCGGGGAGGAGAGTTTTCCAAGAGGGAGCAGCCCTTGTCAATGTGCAGAGGAAGCGTACAGTGGTTTTTGGTGGGTGAGATAAGGAAGATGAAGCCAGAGCAAGAGTAGATGGGATTGGGAGCCCAAGGAGAGGCTGAGACAGGGAGAGGAGGTGGTCAATTTAGGGCAAATGAAGTGGGGTGCAGGTGGGTTACATGGCTGCCTGGTGTCCACCTTCTCAGAAGACCACAGGAGATGGCTGCACCCCTGGACTCAGGGGTGAGCATGTGGAGATATTATGTGGAGGACACTATGGCAGGGAACAGGCTTATGCCTCTTCCCATGCCTCAGTTTACCCATCTGTGATGTGAGAATTTTGGACCCCTAGCCTGGGCACATATTCCTCTTTGGACATAAAATCTAGGGCTCACACTGTGTCATAAGGTAGGAGTCGAGGGTCCTGCTCCCTACCCCTGCCACCACTGCCCCTCAGTGTCCAATGCCAGACACTCAGGTGTTCCAAGGACACACCAGGGCCCAGGCCAGTCTGGAGGCTTCTGCCTCAACTCCAAGGTGCAGAACAAGGCTTGGGGAGCGTGGAGGTGGCTGGGGAGCCCCAGGCCCCCCGAGGGCCACTCTGTTTACCTGCTGCGGCCTGCCATCTCTGATGCAACAGACAGGCTCTGGTTACATAAGGGCAGCAGCTGGAGCAGCTCTGGGAGCAGCTGGGGCATGGCAGGAGGGCGGGCCGAGCTGAGTTGGCTGGGGCTGCCCCTGCACCCCCACCTACCTCCTGCCCTCTCCCGCCATTGAGGCTCCCTCCTGTGTTCCTGGCCCCATTTCATCTTCTATTACTCACACCCTATTTTCTATAATGGCCCTTCCTTTTTTCCCGTGCCCCTGTTCCTATCCTATACTATCCCACCACTGGCTGTGTCACTTTGTGGCCCCCCGTCCCCCATTGGTTATATATATTGGATATATATATATATATATATATATATATATATATATGTATTTCAGAGAGGAAGGGAGAGGGAGAGAGAGAGATAGAAACATCAACGATGAGAGAGAATCATTGACCGGCTGCCTCCTGCACAGCACCTACTAGGGATCGAGCCCGTAAACTGGGCAAGTGCCCTTGACCAGAATCGAACCTGGTACCCTTCAGTCCACAGGCCGGCACTCTATCACTGAGCCAAACCGGCTAGGGTGGGACAGTCAAAATTTTTTATCTCAGTCTTTTCAGATGAGGGGACACCTTAGTTGCTGGAGTGAGATGCTGGACTGTAGAGGGGTGGGTTGGGGGGTGGAAAGGGCCAGAGATGAGGGATCTGAGAGGGGGCCTGAAGATGGGGGAGACAGGGGTGGGAGGGTGGTGAGGTGGAAAAGCCGCTTCCCCCAAGTCCCTTTTTCCAGATCCTCTCCCACATGTCAGCAGGGGAAGGCTGTGAAGGACTCTCCATGGCAAGAACAGTGTGGTCCGGCAGACAGAACCTCAGGTTAAAGAACCCTGGTCCCCATCCCAGCTCCAATGTCCTCTCACTGTGACTTCAAGTTAGTCACTTCACCCTTTTGAGCTTGTTTGTTGATATGAAAAGTGGGGACAATAGCAGCCCCTCCTTCTCGGGGAGAACCTTTTAAGGCTTACCTTCCCACTCCTCCAAAAGCTTTCCATACCCCCCCTCCCATTTGGGATTCTTCCACACCCATTCCTCCTTCCAGTCCAGTGCTGACTCAGCGGTTTTGGGGTGTATGTCTAGCTCTGTCTCACCAGCCTAGGGGCTCCTCAGGGCCAGGCCCAGTATGTAACAGCACCAAAGGGTGTCTCCATAGGTTCCTTACACCACCGGAGCGGGTATGAGTGGTGGAGGGGCATGGGGACCAAGTTTGGGACATCCAGAGGCCTCACTGAGGGATATGACAAGGCTAGGAAGGGACTTCCCAAGGGCAGGACCCTTCAGAGCAGGGCTGAAATAAAACCATGATTTGGACCAGGCGATAAGAACTAAAAGCCAAACTCAAGTCTGAATCCCGCCTTGACCACTGCAGACCAACCTGGGGCATTGCTGCCTTCCTGGGCCTTTTATCCACCTGCAGATCTGAAGGAGCCTCGGGCGGGGCGGGAGTGGGCTGGGATCCCTTCCGTCACCCCCATGGGTGCTAGACTCCTGCCCCAAGGCACGGGGAGCTCACTGCCTCTCCCGGCTGTCCACCTATCTCTGGGGCTCTGCTAGAAGCAAGTCCTACTTGCTTGGAAGCCACACCAGGAGGAGGGGAGCAGGAAGGCCACACCAGGAGGAGGGGAGATCAGGAGCGCATGGGGGCAGATGCGGATCCTGCTGAGTAGTCCGGGCTCAGGAAGCCTCAGCTCGCTCTCTGAAAAATGGAATCAAGGACGTACGGGGTAAAAAGGGGTAAGGGTCACAATGCCCCCACTGCGATCAGCCAGGAATGAGGACAATGACCTTTTAGGGGGCGAGTGCCCAGCCAAACCTTTGCCTCTTGCGCCCCCTGGCGGCCAGCTGTTAAGGGGGTGTTTGTGGGTGTGAAGGGCAAAGTGGTCATGTAAATAAGATGCAAATTACCAGCACCCACTCCTTCCTGTGGGCCTTTGGACTCCGTGTGAGGGATCTGACAGTCCAGAATCGTCTTTGGCTAAGGTTGTGTCCTGGGGCTGTGGGTGGCGGGGAACCCTGGAAAGGTCTGGGGCACCCCACAGCTGTTTCCTACTACCTCAAAGTGCCCTTGGGGTATGTGTAGTTACCTCACTTAGCGGCCTTTCTTGCTGGCCTGTCTTGCTCACCAGGGCATCCCCTGGGCCGGCAGGGCCTGGCGCACAGAGGACAGTCAATATTTGCTGGACAAATGATTGCATGGTGGACAGGTAGAAGGAGGGACAGAAAATTACAGGTACTTTCAGAGCAGGCAAGAAGAGTGATGCTGTGGGGACCACACACTAGTCAGGGCCTCAATGGGTTGGACCTGAGGTCCCTCCTTCCCCTCAAACTGAGCTGGGGTGGTGGGGAGGCAGAATAGCAGCATGGAGGCCCCTTAATACACTCTAGGAGGGGAGAGAGGACTGACTTGACACCTCCTGTGTCCTTAAACCCTCTCCCAGGCCCTCAGGCTCCTCCACAGCCCTGACACCACACCGGGACCCTGTTTCTCCCCTAGGTTGCCCCTGGCCCTTGCCACCCTTCTCTCCCAACCACCCACAGTGCCAAGGGGAATGTGGGGGGTCCTCCCAGAGCAGTGGGCCTGATGTATCTTCCCGATACATTTTGCTGGACACTGTGTTGACACAGCTGGCCTCGGAGGTGTACAGACTAAGGGTCATGACCTCCTAAGCCTAGAATTGGAAGAGATCAGTATAGGCTCTTCTGCAGTTAGCAGAAAGACTCAAAGCAATTTTGGCAAATACAGTAATTGAGGGTACAGCTGGACACGGTCAGGTACAGCTGGACTCAGGGTCCCAGGGTGACTTCATCTGGCCTACGCCCGGGGTGGGTGTTTCTGCTTGATGCAGAATGCCGGCCAGGCAAGCAAGTACACGAATGTCCACCTCAGCTGTAGAAAAGGTCCAGTCCAGCCTTCCTTGTCCAGATGGAGAAAGGGAGGACGAGAGAGGGTCAGTTCTAGGCCCCGTGTCACACAGCATGTCAGAGGCAAGGCTGGGACGAAACCAGGCAGGGGTCTGGTCTCCTTTAGCTGTGTGGCCTTGCCCAAGTCACACCGCCTCTGCATTTATTTTCCCATCTGTACCTGAGGGCGACACCTGCCTATGGGGCTGAGGATGAGAGATGACCATTGCAGAGCCCAGCACAGTGTAAGCTATGGGGATCAACACAGTGGCAGTTATTGGTCCAAGGAAACATGCTGATGCGGAGTAGGAATCCCCGGGCAGCAAAGGGGACATTACGGCTGGCCTGGGGGTTGCAGGCAGGAGCGGGAAAACTGCCACCTCTGCCACCTGATGAGTCACTTCCAAGAAGGAAAAGCAGAGACCAGAGAGGGGGAGTGACTTGCTCAGGGTCACACAGGTCAGTGGTGGAGCGAGGAGTCCAGAGTTGGGTGGTAATCGCCATGCCGGGCTCTGTCTGAAAGAAGGTACGTAAGTAAGGCAAGCAGCTGGCATGCGGCAGGCAGGGAAATATGGATCCACTCTGTTCAGGAGGAGTCCTTGGGATCAGGACAGGGCCTATGACCTGAACAAGGGCAAGAAGATGGCAGAGGGAGCACGAGGGAGATGGGCTGACAATGAGCCTGAGCAGCAGAGGCCCTAGGTCTCCCTCACCCTGCACCCCCCCCCCCCCCCCCGCTGACCAAACCACCCTACAAGCCCAAGTGGTTAGATGGTAAATCCCTTCTTGGACAACAAAAGGGTGGGTTAGTTCAGAGCATGGAACGCAGGAAGGCTCCTGGCCCCACTCAGCACTGACCTGGTTGGAGGGGCCAAAGCACCCCCAAGTCTCTTCTGGGATCAGGCCAAGGAGGGTGGGGGCAACTCCTCGGGGCTGGAATAAAACATGTGCAGTGTTCGTAAGACCAGAGTCAGAGGCCTGCTCAGCTAGGTTGGACTGTGCATAGGGTCACCCTCCCAAGACCCCGGGCCTGAGCCTTCAGGGCATCCTTGGTAAAAATGGGACCAACCACCTACTTCAGAGGTCACGGCTGGGACTCATGCATGTCTGGGAACTTCAAACCCACAGGCCTTGCAAAGAGAGATGTTAGCAGCAGCGTGGAGCTTTCAGAAAAGCATTTTGCATTTTCACAACAGCAGGGACAAGCAGGGCATTTGAAAGCACTTGGAAAACCACAAGTTCAAAGTAAAAGCTATAGCTTTTTGAGGCCCTACTGAGTGCAGGGCGCGGTGCAAGGCACTTTACAGTCAACTCTAGTGATGACTGTCACCAATAGCAGCAGAACAGCAAACCCAGGTAAACCCTAGCATGCTACCTCAGGATTGCTGCACATCCGTTTTACACATTCACCAGGCTTCTGTTTGAATGATTCTCACGTTTTAGTTATCCGACACAGCAACACAGAGGTTTTCTTTTTTTCTAAATATCTCGTGTGGGACAGGCAGGCCAGAACCCCAAACTACAGGAGCCAGAGACATCTCAAAGTAGAGTTATGGCTTACAGCATGTGTGTATGTGTGTGTTCAAATGCATATTTATTAAGTTATGAAAAACAAAAAGAACTCCTTCCCCAAAAACTCCTCAGTGTGCAAGGACTGGAGTGCTTTTCATGTTCATGCCAGTTGTCTTCAGCTCAAAGCTTCCTCCAGCTCTGGGCAGCCTCCCTGCTGGCTGCCTCCCTCCCTGACGCCATCTCCCCCTCGCTCACCTGCTCCAGCCACACCCGTCCTCTAGATGTTCCGCCAGCACACCTAGTGCCCCAGCCCCAGGGCCTTTGTCCTCACCACTGCCCTGCCTGCAACATCATCCCCAGTCATTTCTGTCAGCAAATCTTTCAGGCCTTCGCTCCCATTTCCTCCGACTCATCAGAGACGCCCCATATTCCCTTTTTTCCTTTGCACACTTCGGAAGTACTCTGGTCTGTTCCGTGTGTACCTGGTTGCTGTGTGTCTCCCTGTGAAACCACAGCAGACCTGTCCTGGTCACCTCTCTGACCCCAGAACCAGCCCAGGACCAGGCACACAGCAGAGCTCAGGATCTGGGTACTGAGTGACTGCACTCTCCTGCCACAGACACAAAGGACAAGAGGAAGGCGCAGGCATTGAGAGATGAGGAGAGGAAGCTGTCCAAGGAGCGAAAGCGGCAGTTCCTGGCTGAGTGGCGAAGGTTCCGGCGGAGGCGGAGGCAGCAGGGGTGGGTAGTCCTGGGAGCTACCTGTGGCCCTGGGTGGCGTTCATGTGGTCCCGGATGCTGATGGCCTGTTTGAGGAGCCCCTCCACACTGCGGAAGTAGACGCTGCTGTCGACAAGGTTCTTCACGGCACTATAATGGGAAGACAGACCCAGTAGGCACCACCCTGCCGCACCCACCAACTGGAGCCTAGCAGGTTCCTGGGGGACTCTGTGGGCCTCCCTGAGGGCTCGTCAGGAGCTCAAAGTTTAGATTTTCCTGCCAAGACGGGAGGGGCCTTGCGAATGCCAGAAAGTCACCTGTGCAACATCTGCATAGAAAGAAAAGTGTCCTATTGTGTGGTTTTATTTTGTTTGTTGTTAATCCTCATCTGAGAATATTTTTCCATTGATATTTAGAGAGAGTGGAAGGGAGGGAAGGAGGGGGAAAGGAGAGAGAGAGAGAGAGAGAAACATGGATGAGAGAGAGACACATCGATCAGTTGCCTTCCGTACGCATGCAGACCAGGGCTGGGGATTGAACCCACAACCCAGATAGGTGTCCTTGTCCAGGAATTGAACCCCTAACCCTTCGTTTCAAGGGCTGATGCTCCAACTGCTGAGCCACACTGACCAGAACTAAAAGTGTGGTTTCCTTTTGTTAAAGAAAAAAAAATCCCTTCTATTTATTATCAGAGGCCTGCTTGAAAATGGCCACGAGATGAAGGGGAGGAGCGTTCACTGTTTCTCACTCTGTTAACTTGTTCATCTTATGCCACCAAGTGTAGTCAGCTTTTCTAGTATTTGATTGCCCAACTTGATTTAAAAACTCACTAATAAAACATGAAAATAAAGAAATGAAAAAAGAAAAAATCTTTACTAACATAAGCTCACTATTCAATAGTTTACCCCAATTTAACATCTTTCAATTTTACACCAACTATTAACACTGCATAAAGCATTTCAAATAACTAAAAGCCAAGGGCTCACCCTGGCCAGTGTGGCTCAGCTGGTTGAGCGTCGTCCCATGCACTGAAAGGTTGCTGGTTCGATTCCAGTCAGGGCACATGACCAGGTTGCAGGTTCAATCCCTGGTCTGGGCGCATATGGGAGGCAACCGATCAATGTTTATCTCTCTCTCCCTTCCTCTCTCTCTCTAAAATCAATAAAAACATATTTTAAAAGAATAAATAAATAAAAGCCAAGGGCTCTTTCATGCCCATAACGACATGGACGCCCATCCTCAGGAAGACGCCATTAGTCCCGGTCACCCCTGTCCCAGTGGGGGCACTAGGACTGCTGATGGCAGAACACTCAGCTCAGCGGCCCCAGCAGCAGGACTTCCTTTCAAGGAACCTTCACCCACACAGCAGAAGCCGGCAAGCAAACCCCACAGTGCCAGGATGAGAAATGGTGGGAGTGTCCAGCCTCCACCAAATGACCCACAGGCCATGCCAGGTGCAAACAGCATCTCTAAATAAAGTGGCCAAACTCCTGAGACAAATGGAACAAGCCAGGGCATTAAATACAGTCCCAGAAACCAACAGAAGTGCAGGAGAAAAGGCCAGCAGAACTGCCATAACGCAAAAAAACACCAACTACCGTTTTTCACCCTCAGGCATCTTTTCCTGGGGCGGAGGAGACCATCTGAAGATTTAGAGAAAATTTAAACAACAAAAAAACAAAAACAGTCCGAGCTGGTTTGGCTCAGTAGATAGAGCATCGGACTGTGGACTGAAGGGTCGCAGGTTCGATTCCATCAAGGGCACATGCCTGGGTTGAGGGCTCGATCCCTCGTTGGGGGCGTGCAAGAGGCTGCCAGTCAATGATTCTCTCTCATCATTGATGTTTCTCTCTCTCTCTCCCTCTCCCTTCCCCTCTGAAATCAATAAAAATATACTTAAAAAAAAACAACAAAAAAACCCACAAATGGTACAGCCACATTCACAGCAGTATTATTCACAATAGCTAAAACACGGAAGCAACCCAGCCCTGGCCAGTATACTCAATTGGTTGGAGCATCATCCCGTTACCTGAAGGGTCATGGGTTTGATTCTTGATGGGGGCACATGCCCAGGTTGCAGGGTTCAGTCCCCAGTTGAGAGGCAACCAATCGATGTGCTTTTCTCTCAAATTGGTGTTTCTCTCTCTCCCTTCCTCTCTCTAAAATCAATAAATATATCCTCAGGTAAAGATATTAAAAAAGAAAATTAAATAGAAAACAACAGCCCTGGACATTTTGCTCAGCGGTTAGAGCGTCGGCCTGTGGACCCAAGGGGCAATGGGGAGGAATAAGGACATATATGTAATACCTCAATCAATAAAGAAAAAAAGTAAAAAGGCAACAGAAAACAACAACAAACAACAAACCATGGAAGCAACACAAATGCCCACTGACAAATGAATGGATAAACAAAATGTGGAATTTTACTCAGCCTTAAAGAGGAAGAAAATCCCAGCACATACTATCACATGGATGAGCCTTGAGGACATTACTCTAAATCAAGGATGTCAAACTCGCCGCAGGCGGCCCACTGGCCATGAGTTTGACATGTTTGCTTTAAATCAGTGGTTCTCAACCTTCTGGCCCTTTAAATACACTTCCTCATGTTGTGACCCAACCATAAAATTATTTTCGTTGCTACTTCATAACTGTAATGTTGCTACTGTTATGAATCGTAATGTAAATATCTGATATGCAGGGTGGTCTTAGGCAAACCCTGTGAAAGGGTCGTTCTGCCGCCAAAGGGGTCGCGACCCACAGGTTGAGAACCGCTGCTCTAAATGAAGGAAGACAGACACAAAAAGACAAATACTGTATGACTCCATTCATGTGAGGTCCCTAGAGCAGTCAAATTATAGAAACAGAAAATAGAATGGTGGGTGCCAGGGGCTGGGGGAGGAGGATGGGAGTTAGTGTTTAATGGAAACAGAGTTTCAGTTGTGCAAGATGAAAAGTTCTGGAGATGGATGGTGATGGTTGTCTAACAATGTGAACGTACTGAATGCCACTGAACTATATATACTTAGAAGTGGTTAAGATGACAAGTCTTATGTTTCCCCAACCTTGTTACACCCTCCTATGATAGATGGGGAGGGGATCGGAGCTGGGAAGAAGCCTGCCGGAGGCACACAGAGGTTGAGCAAAGTGAGAAGCACAGGCCTCGGCTTGAACCTGCTGTGTGGCCAGGGAAACTGAGACCCACATGCTTCCTCCCTCAGGTGGGCTTGGCAAGACAGGGCTCACCAGGGGGCTGGCTGAGATGCTCCTGAATGCCTAGGCGGTGACCCCAATGCAGAGCGAGGTGATCCTGGCAATGGGGAGGCTGAGGTGCTCACCTACAGGCGTACTCCACTGTGTAGATGGCTCCCTGGCTCTGCTCCTCCCACCGTTGCATGTCGGCCTGTGGGGGTTGGGGGGTGGGGTGGGGCTGTTAGGCAGGGGGAGGCTGCCACCTCTGTCATCCCAGCTCTCTGCGATGGAGCACCCGGTCACCATGGCTGCAGAGACTGGCCCCCTCCAGCCCCCAACCTTTCTTCCTCCAACTCTCTTCCCTCACGAGTCCAGGCTTTCTGTGGACACCTAGCTGCTACATTTTGGGACCTTTGCACCAACTGTCCCCTCTCCCTGGCATGCTCTTCCCTCTAGTCTTCACACAGCTGCCTCCTTCTCACCATACAGGTCACAATTCATCTAGGCCTGCTGCTCCTTCTTCCAAATCTGCCCCACATCTGTCCACCCACAGCCCCAGCCTGGCTCAGTGACCACATGCCTCCTTGCTGTGTTCCAGCCTTGACTCATCCCAAGAGCCCCTGCTCTACCAGCAGGCCCCAGCTCACAATGTGCAGGCCCTGCAGGGGTTGGTGCAGGGGTGCATGGGACTCACCTTATGCTGGGCCAGTTCTGGCAGAGAGCGGCGCACATGCTCCTGGAGCCGGTAGAGGGCCACAGACGGCTCATTGGCCAGGACGTAGACGCTCTCGGTGAACTTGTCTGTGACTGGTTCCAGAATTGACAGTGGAAGGTGGCAAAATAAGGGAAAAGGGTGCACAGACACAAAGAAACAAAGCATAAGACTCGTGATTGCTCAACCTCTGAGTCCAGCCAGAGCAGTGAGGAGTCTCTGGTGTCCCCTCCAGCAGCTGGGTCACCCGTGGCCCAGGAGAGAGGTTGAAGGACATGGTCACAGATGGCCTCATTCATATTATCAATGCATCCAGTGCACTCATGATCTTTCCCCTCCCAATTCTACTTGTAGTGGACACTGCTGCTGCCCACTCGGATCTCCTCGAATTCCTTTTACCCCAGTGAATAAATCTGAGATTCCTCCTAGAAGGATCCACTGGTTACTGGATCCGAAAGTTTGCTTATATCCCTGGGTGGCCCTCAGCCATGACAGACCATTGAGGAGTATGAAAAGTCTGTGCCCCTTGCTGTGTGTTGGGACAACTGGGAGGTGTGACTCACTCCCCTAAAACTCCTTGCCAAATCAGGCTGAGACCAACCTCTGAGGGATTTTACCTGAGGTTGCTCTTTGCTCAGCCTCCTCCCCAGCCCTGTTCTGTTCCCCTCTAGTCTGTGGGGCTCTCCTGGTAAGTTAACTACACACAAATCCTCATCCCAGGGTCTGCATTCCCAGTCAGCTGGTCATCCACGCCATCCATGAGGAGATCTTCTGGTTCTGACACAAAACAAAGCCCAGCCTCACCCATGCTTATCACTGCACTGACCCCACTGGTCCAGGTATGGCTGCTTCCCACCTGGATGCCAGACTCAGCCCCTCCTGCCAACAGACCCATATGCACACAACAGATGGAGTGAACTCCTAGTGAACACATCAAATATGACCCTCCCTTGCTTGGAAGCCTTCATGGCTCCCATCAGCCAGAGAATAAAATCTGCTTTCCTCACCATGGCCCTTAAGGTCCTGTATGTTCTGCTGCTGTTGACTTCCCTGCCCTCTTTGCCTTCTGCCTGGGCCCAATGCCTCCTGGCTGTTACTTGGACACTCCCAGCACTGCCCAAAAGAACTTTCTGAGATGACTCAAAGGTTTTATAATCTATACCGTCCAATGAGGTAGCCACTACTGGGCACCTGAAATGTGACTAATGTGACTCAGAAACTGATTTTTTAACTTTAATTAATTTAAATACCCATAAATACTGTGACCAGTAGCTACTGTATTACAGCAAAGCTCTGAACACTTTGCCACCTCAGGGCCTCTGCCTGTGTTGTTCCTGCCACTGACACTACCCCTCCCCCCACCCCCACCCCCACCCCCAGCTTCATCCCTCATGTCTCAGCTGAAATGTCACCTCCTGGGCAAAGCCTTCCCTAATCACCAAGAATAAACACATGTCCCTCATTCCCAACCTCAGCACCCTGTTTGTTTCTCTTATATTTAAATTCCCATTTTTTACTAAGTTACGTATTTATAGAAAAAAATATTAAAGCTTGGATTTGTGAGGACGGGGGCTTCTCTAAGCCTCAGTTCCCCATTTGTAAAAATGCAATGATAACAGTGCCCACTCTTAAGGTTTGCTACAGAGATGATCCTATGCTACTGCCCAGGGCAGTGTGGTTGGCAAGAGAGAGAACGCTGGCATGTCTGGGAATCAAAGGACGCCGTGCATTAGTCTGTCCAGTGTGAATCAGTCCAGCTCACCAGCCCAGCCTGCCACCTCCAAACTGTATCGTTATAGAAACTGTTACCCTCTTAGGCCTCCTCCTTTAGAAAATGAGCATGTAATAGCTTACAGCTGGGTTCTTACAAAAGTGGTGGAATTAAATGTATTTGTGCCTTCTAACTAATTAGAAATAACGTGTGCCCGGCCGGTGTGGCTCAGTGGTTGAGCCTTGACCTATGAATCAGGAGGTCATGGTTCAATTCCTGGTGAGGGCACATGCCCAGGTTTTGGGCTTGATCTCCAGGGTAGGAGGTATGCTGGAGGCAGCGGATCAATGATTCTCTTATCAGTGATGTTTCTTTCTAAAAAATTTTTTTTATTGATTTCAGAGAGGAAGGGAGAGGAAAAGTGAGATAGAAACATCAATGATGAGAGAATCATTGATCAGTTACCTCATGCACGCCCCACACTGAAGAGGGACCCGCAATCCTGGCATGTGCCCTGACCGGAATCGAATCCTGATTTCCTGATCGACGCTCAACCACTGAGCCACGCCGGCTGGGCATCCGTGATGTTTCTCTCTCTCTCATCTCTCCCTTCCACTCCGAAATCAATACAAAAATAATTTTTTAAAGACATAACGTGTGTGATAAAATAACAAGAGACTTCATAATTTAGAACGCTTATGGCATTTTGTAATTTGTAACTATGGGATTATAAATATATGGGATTATAAATATGTATATAAAAAAGTCAATGTAAACACACAAATACGTAACTATAAAGCAGTGGTTCTCAACCTTGGCTGCACATTAGAATCACCTGGGAATCTTTTTAAAATCCTGATTTCTGGGCCTCATCCTCTGGAAATTGTTTCTTTCTTACTAATGTTGTGGCCTCACCCCATAACAAAGAAACAGAATTTCCGGAGGATGAGGCCCAGAAATCAGGATTTTAAAAAGATTCCCAGGTGATTCTAATGTGCAGCCAAGGTTGCGAACCACTGCTATAAGGCAACAATACGCACGGCTGCCACGCCCGAGCTTTCTTCCAGTGCATTACCAATATCAGTTCATCGCGTTCTCACAAGCCTATGAAGGGAGGGAGGAGGACTATACTCCCCATTTTACAGATGACAAAACCGAGGCACGGGGACTAAAGCTTTCAAAACTAGTCAGAGGCCGAACCAGGATTCGACGGCAGTTCAATCTGCCCCTCACGCTCCCTCCCCGTCTTTGCCACCCCCCACCCCCTGTCTAGATGCCCCTCCGCGAGTTCCTGGGCTCTTCGTACAGCCCGGCGCCTCGCATTACCTTTCTTCCCCTTGAGCTGCATCTCCGGTTCCTCCATAGCGACGGAGGCCCATTAGGCTTGAAAACCGGAACCGGAAGCTGGAGATGGTGACAGCTCCCTAAACCTTCCCCTGCGAAACCGCACTAAGCCCTGCCACTATTCCAGTACCCATTGCCTGCCCTCCGTTCCTCCATCTCTACCGAACCCGGATAGGGGCCGTGAGTGAGAGACCGGGGAAGGGGCCACACCGGGAGGCAGGTGAGGCGGGGCTAGGACCCCATGAAGCTCCTGGAGGGACACCGTGGAAGGGAAGAACCCCTTTTCCAGGGGCGGATGAATTGGGGAACGCTCTACACACCGCTCACTGCGGACCGTAGTTACGGTCTCTTTGCACCTCACTGCCATCAAATCCCTGCACATGTTCATGAGCCCCCACCACCCAGAGGGAGCACTGTTGTGGACTGGGACGATCATGGAGTCGCCCCTTTAAATCCTGCACGCCCCGCCTGCTCCCGCCCCCTTACCCTCGAGGGAGAAATCCCCGCCTTCCCGCCCCAAACTGGAGCCGATTGGCTTCTAACAGGCGCAATGAGATCCACCGAGCCCTCTGAGGCCCCGCCCACTCCTTTGACCCCGCGGGACTAGAAGGCACAGGAGCAATTGCACTGCTCGGACTCCAGCGGAAACCACGCCCCCTCCAATCCTTAAAGGGCCAGAAGCAGCTCCTACTGCTCCTGCCCTTCCGCACTTTTGGGGGGCAGGGTGCGCAGGCGCAGTGGGGGACCTCTGGGGTGGGGGTAGTGGTCGAGTATCAAGTTGCTCTCTGTCCCGGCAGAAGAAGCCAGAGCGCTGACTATCCAGGCTCCAGCTTGCTCCCCGCTACATCAATTGGAGGGGAAAAGTTTGTGAATTGGGCCTCCAAGTTTTGGGGGATCCGGGCTTGCGGCGAGGGGTGACAGAGAAGGTTCGTGGAAGGTGAGTGAACCTCCTGGATCGGCTTGGAGGGACGGGTGGGATGGAACCAATTACATCTTTGTTGATCCCTCCGTCATTCCGGGGACCACCCTCCAAAAAAATAACCACAGCGAACATTTATGAAGCTCTGCCGGTTTCAGGCCCCCTGCTTAGTTATGTACAGATATGACTTCTTTTAGACCTCATTTCCCCGTGTTATTAATGAGGATACAAGTTCAGAGTAGGTAAGGCATGTGCCCAAGTTCTCAGAGCCTGTAAGTGGAAGGATTCCAACCCAGATAGTTGACCTCAGAGCCAGGACTTCTAAGCAATGACTGTTGGATGTGTCCTGGTGGTGGTGGAGAGTGGGCCTGAAAAGGAATTGGACTGTGATTTAATTTCCCTGCTGAGCCTGAGTTTATCCACCCTCCCTGTGCAAGACCAGTTATGCAGCTGGCACCTAACTTCGTAAGAATTGTTCACAAGTCTTGTCATCTCTCCCCTTTAGGGGCCTCCATTAGCTCCCCCCTCCCGCCCCCTCCCATGGAGCTCACCCAGCCTTCAGAGGACCTCAGCCTGACCCAGCAGCCTCCCACCCCAGAATTTGGGGAATCTGAAGACCCCAGGGATGAGGCCCAGGATGGCTCAGACACAGTGGTGCTCAGTCTCTTCCCCTGCACCCCAGAGCCTGGGAACCCTGAACCAGATGCTGGCGCCTCTTCACCTCAGGGTAGGTACTGCCTCTGGGATGCAAGGACTGTGGAATGTTAGGGCCTCTGTTTTATGTCCCACCGCCTAGGGCATACATGTCTTCCTGCCCCACCCAGCAAAGGATTGCTTATTTGTTTTTATTATGGCAAAATCCACATAACATGGAAGTTACCATTTTAACCAGAATTGCATCTAATTTAGTGGCAGTAAGTACATTTACAGTGGTGGGTAACCCCAACCTCTCTCTGTAATTCTAGAACATTTCCATCACTCAGAAGGACCTAGGTCATGACTTCCACACAGCAGCAGGACCCTAGAGCTGCCAGTGTCTCAGGAGACCGGATGGCCTTGCCCCATACCTTATTTAACATCTCTGATGACAGGCAGGGCCCAGGACCCCACTCAGGGTACTCCGAGAGCTGCCTTTTGTGATGAGCAACAATCTCCAAATTCTTCAGGTTTTCAGGAGATGACCCATTGATGTCTATGGGACATCCCCAGATTGGCCAGTGGGTCCTATAGCTTCCAGCTTCTCAGGGCTCAGCTCCAGTAGCATCCGTGGAGTGGAAGAGAGAGTCATGCAGTGTCTTTGGTAGCTCTAAACCCCCAGGGTCTAGCTTGAAGCCCCAGAACCCTTCCTCCCTCTTCCACCAGGAAACTCCCTAAAGCACTCCACGACCCTCACCAACCGGCAGCGGGGGAATGAGGTCTCAGCCCTGCCGGCCACCCTGGACTGTGAGTGGCCCCTGTCCTTAATGGTGGTGGTGGGGGGGGGATAGGGTGACAGGGTGGCAGGGCTGAGAGGAGCAACTTGGGACAGAAGCTAAACTGAGGCACAGAACAAGGATGGGACAGGTGAGGACACTGCCTCTCTCTGGCCCCAGCCCTGTCCATCCACCAGCTTGCAGCCCAGGGAGAGCTGAGCCAGCTGAAGGAGCATCTGAGGAAAGGTGTGTGTCTACACCCATGTGCTTGTCTGACCTCGTGTGCTGGTATGTGCATGTGTGCTGTCATGACCTGTGAGTGTCCCTGCGTGCCTGTGTCTCTGTTTGTGTACAAGCGTGGCCACTTGTGTGTATCCATGTGTGTCCCCCCATCTGACCCCAGCTGCCCCCCGATCCCCACTCCCGCAGCTTTGGGGAGAGTGGGCAGGGGTGCAGCCCAGTGGTACCAACCCCTCCTGCCAGGCGACAACCTCATCAACAAGCCGGACGAGCGTGGCTTCACCCCCCTCATCTGGGCCTCAGCCTTCGGAGAGATAGAGACCGTCCGATTCTTGCTTGAGTGGGTGCGTCCCTGCCCAGCTGGGGACTTCCTGGGACTTGAGGGCGGCCAAGTCTCAGCTGAATCTGCCAGTGCCATGTCTTTAGATGTGGCTGCCTTGGGGACCACAGGATCCCAGGGGATCTCCCACTCCTCCCATCACCACTCTCTCTGCTCCCCCAGGGTGCCGACCCCCACATCCTGGCCAAGGAGCGGGAGAGCGCCCTGTCACTGGCCAGCACAGGTGGCTACACAGACATCGTGGGGCTGCTGCTCGAGCGTGATGTGGACATCAACATTTACGACTGGGTGAGGCACCCCATGTGGGCCCGGGGCTCCCTGCAGGGTGTCAGGCCTGCTCTGGATGCTAAGAACACAGACAGACTCCTCCCCAAGCCTCACAGATCTAGGTTTGGTGTTTGGCAGGACGGGAGGGAGGGAGGAGCCAATAAATAAACACTCAGCTGACTGTAGTGGATAATGCTGTGATGGCAGTCGCATAGGCAGCCGGCGATCTGCACAGCCAAGGGAGGAGGTCAGGGAGGCCTACCTGGAAGAGGGACATCGAAGCTGAGCCCCAAAGGAGGAGCTAGACCTGCCAGGTGACAAACAAGAGAAGGAACCAAAAAAAAAAGAAAGAAAGAAGGAACCACATTAAATTGGAGGGTGCTGGGTGGTGTGAGAATCCAGTAAAGGTAGTGCTGGTTGCCCCTGCCCCTGACAGAATGGAGGGACGCCACTGCTCTATGCCGTGCGTGGGAACCATGTGAAGTGCGTGGAGGCCTTGCTGGGTGAGTGGGAGTAGAGGCTGACCTGGGAGCCCAAGAGCTCTAGCTGGCACTGCAGGAATCCCGCAGGCCAGGGAGGGGCCAGAGCGCTGCTTGAACAGATCTTGCCTGCTTTTCCCAAAGAACTGATCAGGGGGCAGGAGGTGGTGGGACACCACAGGGGTCTGGCCTCAGGGGCCCTGGAGGTGGGAGTTCTTTTGGCCCCATTCTCAGGAGAGCTCAGTCTCTTGTCCAGGGCCACATGGGCAACCAACAGACCTGGGGCTTTGTCTTTGGGGGTCACTGGATCTCCAGAGTCCCATGCCCCATTCTGGGCTCCCAGTCCTCCCTGCAGCACCTGCTCTGCTTTGTAGCCCGAGGAGCTGATCTCACCACTGAAGCTGACTCTGGCTACACCCCAATGGATCTCGCTGTGGCTCTGGGATACCGGAAAGGTCAGCCTGAGACACATGGGGAAGTGACAGGGCGCTGTAGATGGTGTGACCAGAGAGGGTACAGGGGCATACCTTCTGGATACTGGCAACAAGAGTGTTCACGTTAGCAAGCATTGAGTGCCACTGTGTACCTGGCTTGGGCATGTGCTAGGCCTCGTTCTCAGGGGGCTCCCTATGATTTGGAGGTGGAGGTCAATGTGTGTCAGTGACTGAGGTCATGATGGAGGACACTCAGGCACTGAGAGGCCCAAAGGCGGCCCTGGCCCCACCTCAGGATGGATGGGGGCGTCACAGTGGGCTTCCTGGGGACCAAGGGGGAGGGAGGATGGCCCAGGCTGGAGGAACATCTCATGCAGAGGCCTGGCAGGGTGAGGACACCCAGAGGGAGGGGGCCGGTCACAGTGCACAGGGCCATGGAGGCCACTCTGAGGCAGGAAGTGGGTATAAGGAGAGACCCCAGTTTGACTCACTTCTCCATTTGCTTCCCCACCCATGAAATGGGGTGATCCTAACAGAACCAACCCCTGGGGTCAAGGGGGGGATTGATGGTTTGGGAAATATCCCCTCCGTTCTTCAAGGAGTCTTCCATTTGGGATAAATCAATCTTCATAGCCCTTCTTGTCCTTTCATACATATAACAATTCACCAATTTTGTTTTGCAAGGAATATTTTTATAACTCTGAAATGCCTCCAAAAACATTTTTATAAACTTAGGGGAAACGGAGGTTCCTGGCACAGTCTCCCCAGCTGTGTCCTGGGAGGGGTGTGGATTTATCTATGTACGAAATCCATGTCCCATTGCGGGGAGGCCCCTGTTGGTCCCCAGAGGGAAGGGCGTAGTTCTCAAGGCAGGAACCCCGGGAAAGGCAGGGCGCAGGTGGGCGTGTTTCTCTGCAGCCCCAGTTCCATTCATGGCCCACGTTTTCCTTGTCCTGTTTCCAGTGCAACAGGTGATCGAGAACCACATCCTCAAGCTCTTCCAGAATAACCTGGTGCCCGACGATCCTGAGTGAAGGCCCCCCCCCCCCCCCCCCCCGCGCGCGGACTCAGACACTCAGGGAACAAAGTGGTCGACCCAGAGTTGGGGGAACCCAGAACTGGCTTCAAAGGCAGCTCCTGGACAGATGGTGGGAGGGATCCTTCCCAGCAGAAATCAATAAACCTGTGCAGAACTTGAAGGACTGTGCTGTGCTTCCATGAGGGTTCCTGGAGGCGGCGGCTGCCCAGTGGCCTCACACCTTCTCCCCCAGCACTCTCAGGTGGTAGATGACCACACGGCCAAAGAAGTCAGTGAGGTCCTCAAATGTTACCTTCAGCTGGCCCACCTCAGCAGCCGGCACAGGAAAGGTGTGAGCACAGCAGTCAAGGGAAACGGCTTACCGTGTAACTGTCGGCAGCCCCGCCCAGTCCCGGCTCAGACGTGCTGTAGGTCCCTGAGACTCACACACAACAGATTACCATCAGCCCACCTCACAGATGAAGTAACGCAGGCCTGGAGGCCGCTTGCTGGAGGCCGCACACACCGCCCCCACCCCAGAAGCCCCGGTAGGATATCTGAATGGAGTTGTTGTCTTCAGGGTAGAAGTCCACAATCTTATTGAGAGCCTCACTCCTCTGAGAACCTGCAGCAGGGAGAGAGGCAGACTGTGAGGCCGGGGTGTCCCCTGCGACCCCTTCTCCCCCTCTTCCAGGGCCTCCCAGTACCTTCTAGGCAGCCCCGGCGACTGGAGAAACCGCCCTGGAACTGGATCTGCAGCTGGGAGACACGGATGCGCTGGGGGAACTCTAGGACCACCCACTGGGAGGGGCCCTGGAAGCAGACAGGGAAACTGAGGCCCACAGTCCATTCAGGCTCAAAGCAGTGCTATGCTCTCTCTCTATTGGTGGGGGCAGGATTCAGCACATGTTCCCTCCTGGCCAACTGTGGTGCCCGGGAGTTCTCAAGGCACCCTGGACCCCTGAATCTGGTTCACACAAGGGGTGGAGAGCTCACCTGGTCCGAGTTCCAGCACGTCTCCTCGTCCTGGTCGAACAGGTGCTTCTTTCCAAACTGCCGGGTGTTGCGATTCAGAACCGAACTCACCCTGAAGGCACCAGAATCAGGGCGAGGAGAGGGGCTGGACCCAGCCCCGAGGGCCCGGCCCCCACCGTCCGCCCCTCCTCGCCACCGGCTTCACAAACCCCGTGCTCTATCCAAAGAGAGCTGCACCCCAAGCTGAGGAAGGGACCACTGCTGCCCGCCCCCACCTCCTCAGGCCTCACCTGCTCACGGTGTCTGCACAAACCAACGAGTGGGTCATTTTAGCTCCACAAGACCTCAGGGTTCAGAGTTGGGCTCGGCACGGGTTCGAATCCCGCGCCAGCGCAGCCACAACAGCGAGACAGTCCACGCCTCTGAGCTGGAACGCCCTCGCCTGCAGCACGGGACCAGAACCGGCACCACCCACCCTTCCCAGCCCTAAATGTCGCCTTGATCACCCGCTTGCCGGAAAAATTGGGGATTTTGCCAATGACTCGAGACCAGGGGTTTGTCCTGTGGGTTTGGGCGGCGGTCGCTCCGGCTCCGAGGCTCTGTTTCTTTCGGAAAAAAGAACCAAAATCTGGACCCGGAACCGCGCGGAGACCGCGCAGAAGCAGAGGCTTCGGCCGGGCGCCGTCGTTCCCGGGGCGGGGTTTGACTTGAGCCCCGCCCCTGAGTGCCCGCCTCTTAAAGGGCTCGCGCCCAGTGATTGGGTTAAGGCGGGCACCTAAAAACAACTGTATGTGGGACACTGTCCTTTGGTGCCCGCAGGTACAGAGCACTGGTTTTGGAAATCGAGATACTTCTTATAATAATGTGATTCTATCTGGGGAAGTCTGCCAAATCCATCTAACTGCTAACGCAACCTGGAAACCCATGTACCTGACTGCCTCCCAGAAGCAAAGGAAGAGGTCATGATATTGCAGGTACAAGAAGTCTTCATCAGCCTCGCGTGTCCTGGCTGAAACACAGGAGGCCGGGCCTTCAAATCTGTCTTCCCAGTAAATGCTGCCTGGGACAGGCTTTTTGTAGGAGGGGGCATATGAAGTGGGTTTTGAAGGATGAACAGGAGTTTGCCAAACCAGATTACACAAAGCTTCAGGTATCAGGCTAAAGATCTGGTTCACTGATTCACTAAACAACTGCCACTCCCTACTGCCCAGCCCTGTGTTGGATGATGTTAGGGATTGTAAGAGGCCGCAGTTCCATCCCTGCACTTGATGAGCCCCCAATCTGGGTAATACAGAGCTACACACACACACACACACACATACACACACACAGCCCCATAGGGCCAGGGCTGAGCCAGGGAGAGAGATAGTGCTAGGATAGCAGGGGTAGGAGAGCTTCCTGGGAGAGAGGGTATTGTATCTACACCTTAATGGGTGGGTAGGAATTCACCAGGGTGAGAAAAATCTGGGGGCTTGCGGTGGGGAGGTGTAGGGTCCAGCCAGGGAGAACAGTATAACCAAAGACCATAAATTTGAATAAAATATGTGGAGCCAGATCCTGCTGAGCTCAGAGCAGTCACAGAAGGTGTTTGAGAAAGGGCAGGACACCATCTGATCTGCATGAATGGAGGGTTCTGAGACAGACCAGCCATTGCCAGGAGGCTGTGGTTCCTGGCTTCCACTGAATAGTCTGGGGCCCAGCCCCTTTCTTCAAGGGCTGGGGGAATGGTCCTCCTGGCATCCTACTGGTGTCTGCCCACGCCTGCCCCAGGAGGGGGTGCTGGCTGGGAAACTGGGACACTAGTGGAAGGGCTGCCCCAACAGCCCCTGCCTGCCAGGATCTCCTGCATTCAGTCATGATCTGGTGCCATCCAGACTTGAGTCTGCTGGTCTCAGGATCAGAGTTGGACGTGGCAAAAAAACACCTCCCCCAGAGGAAGTTAGGAAGAGCATGGACCTTGTAGGGTCCAGTTCAAATCCTGGCTGGGCCCCTCACTAACTGGCTGTGTGATTGTGAACAAGCATGTGGACCTCTGAGCCTGTCTCCTCACTGTGAACTGGTGAGGAGATTCTATTTCTAGAACTGCTGGGGGATTTAGTAGGCTCTTTAGGATGACATATGACAACAGTGACCTTTGTTGAGAACTCACCCTGTATTAATTTATTTTTTTAAATCTATTTTTATTGATTTCAGAGAGGAAGGGGGGAGAGAGAGAGAGAGAGAGAGAGAGAGAGAGAGAGAGAGAGAGAGAGACATCAATGATGAGAGAGAATCGTTGATCAGCTGTCTCCTGCGTGCCCCCTACTGGGGATCGAGCCCGCAACTCGGACATATGCCCTTGACCAGAATCAAACCTGGGACCCTTCAGTCCACAAGCCAAAGCTCTAGTCACTGAGCCAAACCAGCTAGAGCTCACCCTGTATTTAACTTGAAGCAACGTTTTATCTCCATCCACTGGCTCATGAAACCTGCTGTGCTAGTCCATGTCACCTACATTTTACAGCTGAGGGTACAGCCACTGGCGCCAAGGATATGCTTACCCCGGGGCCCTCTACAACACTCCTGGTCTTGGCATGGAGCCACCTTGCCCACTGGGTTGAAGCCAGCTCATACCCTCTTCCCACCTCCTCTCCCCACTGGCGCCTGGGCATGAAAGAGCTTCCTGTTTCTCCAAGGAATTACCAGCTGTAAGCTCCCAGCAGGGCAGCCAAGAGTGGTCCATTCATTTGCCCGAGTGAGGAGAGACTGGGCACTCCCTCCCCACTCCCCCTAAGGGATGGAGCAGAGGGCACTCTAGAAGAACCAGGCACTGCAACTCTGGTTCACTGAGGGAAACGGAGGCACAGAAAAGCCAAGTCATTTGGCTAAAGTCACCCAGGCGAACCAGGATTCAAACCCTCGTCTGACTCCGGAGTTCCTTTCACTGGGCTGAGTTCTGTATTTTTTTCAGGAGAAGAAATGGAGGCCCAGAGGGGGTCAGGGATTTGTTGAAGTCACACAGCAAGTATGGGTCAGCAGGCACTCTCTCTGGAAAGGCAGCCCCACCCCTGACAGAAAACAGGTCGCACTTCTCAAGAGTTTGTTATCCTTGAGTAGGGCAGGGAGAGGCCCTTAAATAGCTTTGAGCCTTGGTTTCCCCCTGGGGAATAGGTTTAATGGCTGTCCCAAGGCCCCAGCCTGGAGAGTCTTTGAGGGCGAGTGTGATGAGGTCCCTGGCCAGCAGCACCCTTGGGACAGGTCCGAGTCTGATTTATTCGCTGGGGTCTGCGTGGGGCCAGCAGGCCTGGCTCAGAATAGACAGATGCTCCCTCAGTGCCAGCTGAACTTGTCAGAACTGACAGGATGTGAGCCTGGGAGTCTGGGTAAGAGGGGGCAACAGTGGGAGTGGGAGGGATGGCTGGGCATGAAGGGACTGAGCTGAGCTCATGTGGGAACACCCTGAGCCATGACTAGGGTGAGGTTGAGTGGCTTTGCTGAGTGTGGCCCTGGGAGGACTGTATGTCTCCATGTTGGTGACATGGCGCCAGGTGATCATGATTGGGTGCTGGCTGGCTGTAGGTGTGCCCACAGTTATAGACATGGCTGAGTGTGAACAACATGGGGCAAACGTGAGCTGTCTGTGGCAGCCAGGAAGGCTGAGGTACAGAGGTGTGTGGACACAGTGGGTGTTTAAGTGTGAAGGGACTCTAGATGGAGACAGACTCATAGCTGTGAGTTTGGCTGTGCAGCAGGCATGACTTGTGTATGGCGATGGGAGGTTGTGTGTGGCCTGTGTGACTTATATGTGGCCTCGTCAGGTGTGGTTGTCTATGAGCCCTCTGTGCAGTCACTGTGTCTGGGAAGTAATTGTGTATTTCGGTTGTTTATGACACTGTATATGACAGATGTGAATCTGGTTTCATGTGCCGTGTCTGTATGTCACCTTGGGTATGTTGAGAGGCACTTGGGGGACACTGTCCACCCCTGAGACCCAGATCTTTTAGAGGGTCCAGCCTGCTCTGGCCCACCAGCTTCCTCCTCTACTCCCTGCACCCACTCACAGCAGCCCTTGGCCTGGGGCCCCAGTGTGGGGGGGACCGAGAAGGCCCTCTGGGCTGGGGGATGGCTCACCCAATCCCAGTGCAGGTCTATAAATAGAATAGCTCTTTCAGCCCAGCAGATTCCCAGGCAAGGTTGCCTCATTCAAGCCCCCGGCAACAGCCCACCCCTGGGCCCCGGGCCAGCCCCTCTAAGCTTAGCCCTGGCACCAGCCAGGGGGCCCATGAGGTGGGCAGAGGGGGAGGGAGTGGAGGAGTGGGAGAGTTAGAAGTGGGGGTAAGTTTGGCTCTGAGGCCACAGACCTGGGCTCCCATCTGACCCATACTGTGCAACCATAATCCTTCCCCCTGAACCTCAGTTTTCCCAGATGGAAAGTAGGCAGCAGCATGATAGCAGCTGCCATCTTGTGTATTTACTTCCCATCTCATTCCTCTAGCAACCCTGTACAGTAAGGACTCTTAATTATCCCTGTTTTAGACAGTGAAGTTTTTCTAAGCTGAGGCATAGATTAACAAAACGGCTGACCCAGACTCACGCTGTTAGGAGAAGTGAAGAGTGAGGGATTTGAATGCAGGACTTGTGAAGACCAAGCTGCCTGCTCCCATGCAGATCACACAACCACACCCAGACCCCAGGCCCTCGCCGCACTCTGTCACACAAGCCTGCCACTTGCAGGCACATCAGCATGATCCCTGACCTCTGTGATGAGGAGTCAGACAGCAAATGACCATCCACCTGCAGCCTGGGAATTGACACAAGAGGAAGCCTGGGCGATCTTGCCTCCCAGGAGTCTTCCCTCACCCTTCACTCATTCCCACCACCACTCTGGTAATTTAGCTGAAAACATCTGTTTGTCCCCCCACCAATCTGAGACCCACCCCCAGAGATATGAGAACACACATACATAAACACAGACGCAGGACTCTTGGTGGACACACAGACCCTCTGTCCAGTGCAGTCCGTTGTCAGTCCTGAGAGACTAGGACCATGGGAAGGAAGGCAGGGGAAGGGGCTGACCTCTTTACGTTTTTGTTCCCCTTCATTTCCATTTTTCTTTCATTGTGGCAAAATACATAGAACATAAAATTTAACATTTCAAAGTGTACAATTCAATGGCATTGAGTATATTCACCTTATTATGCAGCCATCACCTCTGTCTAGTTCTAGAACATTTCTTCATCCCAGAAGGAGACCCTGTACCCATTAGCAGTCACTACCCATCCCTCCTCCCCCAGCCCCCTGGTGACCACTAATCCACTTTCTGTCCCTGTGGATTTGCCTGTTCTGGACATTTCATATAAACAGGATCATAAAACATGTGACCTTTTGTATCTGACTTCTCTCAGCATGTTTTCAAGGTTCACCCACATTGTAGCATGTGTCAGAGCTTCATCCCTTTTTATAGCTGAGTAATATGCCTCTGTGTGGACTAGGCTTTTTAAGATTAGTGCCTCCCTGCCCACACCCATGCCCCTGTGACCACAGTACCTGGTCCACAGTGGGTGCTCCATAACTGCTGATTGGACAAAGGAATGAATGAATGGTACGTTCTGGCTGGAGCTGGTAACAGCAGCTCTGGGTGCGACACACCTGAGATTCCACCTTGCGTGTCTCTTATCCGCTGTGGAACCCAGGGATCTGCTTACTCTCTGAGTCTCAGCTTCCTCTCTTTAAATGGAGTAAAATAGTAACTAATCAACACTGCTTCAAGCGTGAGTCCTGGAGAGTCAGGCGGGCCAGGGTTAGAATCCCATCAGAATCCCAGCTCGTCCTTCCCCTCCACGTGACCTTGGGAGTAACTTTGTGTCCCTGGGGCTCAGTTTCCCCATCTGTGCATGGGGCATGCCCACCATGGAACTTCTGGAGACACTGAACTTGGCTCCTGGGGGGAAGTGAAGCGCAGTCTTCCCCAGGGTGGGGCAAGGAGTGGAAGGAATGGGGAGGGAGTTTTAGTCTGAGGGGGCTCCTCCCTCTCGCAGCCGGAGGCCTCGGGCTGGCAGGGGCGCATGCGCAGAACAGCCCCGCGGCCCCTTTATAAGCGCTGAGGCTGTGCTGGGGTGAGCGGAGCGCAGGGCGCAGGGGCTGGACCTGGCGCGTCTGAGCCAAGCTGAGCGTCCTTTGTGCCGGGCGGGCGACCGCCCCGGGATGCATCCGAGCTAGGAGCCAGGTGGGGGTCCGTCGCAGGGAATGGGCTAGGCTGGGGGAGAGGTCCTCGGGATTGGGGAGGGAGCCTGGGATCGGAGAGACGCCCCCAGAATGGGGAGGGGGCTACGGGGAAGGGAGAAAGGGAACCCTGGGCTGGGGGGGAAACCCAAACTGGGAGGGGGCTTGGGAATGTCAGAGGAGCTGGGATTTGGGGGTAAGGCTGTCTAGGGAATACGGAACTGATCCCTTGGTGGGGAAGGGGCCTGGTTAGGGGTGGGTCTCAGAATTGGGGAGGGGGCACTGGGAACCAAGGCCAGAGGAGGGACACCGAGTCTAGAGAGAAGAGGGGGACACCAAGAGGCTGTGTGGGGACTCTGAGACAGGGCACCCCAGTGTCTGAGCTGAGCCACCCCAGGATTTTAAGTGGGGATTCCCAATTTGCAGATGAATGAAGGGTGCCAGGCTGGACCGCAGCGGGAAGGGGCCCCATATCAGTCTTAGCCTGATGGCAGGGTCTGCACTGAGACCAAGGGGAAGGGGTGTCCCGCAGTGTCCTGTCCTTTTGGCCCATGTCCTAGCAACACATCCTGACTCAGGGAGAATGCTCTGGGGGCCCCATCCCAAGGTGGTCCCTGTTGTTCCCTCAGACCTGGAGTTGGGGTGCTGTCCCTCTCCCAGGGAGCAAATTGGGTTTCCCAGGTGAATACTGGATCAGAGCCCCCGAAAGTACAAGTTACGGATCCCCAGGACCGGTGAGGGGCACCAGTTCCATGAGGGGCTGCCACAGGCACCTCCATATCTGACGGTGTCCTCGCAGCCAGACACGGACCCTTGCCTCACCCTTCAGTTCCATCTGTCCATATGGTTGCATGTGGAAGTCCTCGTTGGGTTTGGAGGCACAAGTGCTAGGAAGTAGGGGGCTGGGACCCCAGCCCCAGCCTGGGCAGCAGCAACCCCCATCCCTGTGCACAGGGCTTTGTTCCTTTCAATAGCATTAATGGGAGACAGCCAGGCTGAGGAGAGGGTTGGCGCTGGGCCCCAGCGGGGGACTTGGGGGAAGGGCAGGGAAGAAGGGTGGGCAGACCATGGGACCCCAGAACCCAGCAGCCTCTCTTACTTCTGGGCACTCCCACATGTAAGATGACCCCCTAGGAGGTGGGGGCTTTGTGTGTGTCTACCCCCTGCTAGGAGAGGGTATGTACCCGGCGGGGGCGGGGGGGGGGGGGTCTGGGATCCTCTGTGAGTCTAATGTGACAGATTGTCTTTGTCTGGAAACTCGTGCCAGGGGCCACAACACCAGGTGGCAAAATGATGTGTGCCCATCAGTCACCAAAGCCACCGTTATCCAACCTGGGCTGGGCCAGGGGCTGGCATTGCCGTGTGTGTGTGTGAGGAGCTGTGTCTAACGATGTGGCCTCAACAAGGGGTTTATGTGGGGAGCCTGAGAATGTGGGTGTGTGTCTTTGTGCAGAAGACGTCTGCCTGCCTTGTCAGTGCCCATATTGTCTCTCTTTGTTAATGTCATTGTGAATCTTTGTGTGTGTGTGTGTGTGTGTGGCTCTCTCTCTCTCCTGGGCTCTGAGTCTGGGGTGTATGGCTGTGTTTGTGTCCCGTGTGTACAACAACGTTCCTCTCCATGTGATTGACAGTGTGGACCGGGGTGTGGGGGTTCGAGATGTGGTCTGTGTGCAGAATGGGAAAGGGGAGACACTGGCAGGGAGTTCGGTCCGGAAGGGGCAGCCTGGGAGGATTTATTGAGCTGGTTTCTCTTCTCCTCTGAGGCGTTCCATGATCACACCTATGTACTCATATACTCCCTGACTCCCTGCCAAGGGGCACTCAGACCCACACATCCAGAGACCACAGGGTGTCCTCTCTGCTCCACCCAATGCACAGAGCTGCTAGGGACCTGCGCACAAGTCCACATACTACAGGGCAAACCTCATGGATATCCTCACCTGGACACAGCACACCCAGGCACAAACACACACAAATGCCCACTGGCAAACTCACCCTCACTCAGTGTCTACTGAGACAGAAGGTGGTTGTGAGAAGGGATGGACACACATACACACACACCCCTCTTCCTCCTGCCACCCCCCCCCCCCGCACACCCCTACTTGCATATGCATGAGGTTCATGTATTATTGATGAGGTGACAAGCCCCAGACAGTTTTGTAAATGCTCACCTCTGAAGGCCCTGGGAGAGATATTTTGAGAGAAATGGTGTGGGTGTGTGAGGGTGCAAGTAGAGGTAACTGAGTGTGTGTGGGAGGTCATGTGTTTTGGGGGAAGTGCACCTGAAACTGTGTCTGTCACCATGTTGGACCACCTCTGTATATTTGAGTATGTACATGAGACTTTGTGCACAAAACAACTGTTTTTTAATTCACCATTTCTAGGAATTCACATGTCTTAACTCATCCTATCCTCACAGTAACTACCTGAGGTCCATGCTGCATAATCCCCATTTTACAAGTGGGGAAACTGAGGCACAGAGTGATAAAGCAGTCTGTGTAGGGTCATGTAACATGTAGAGAACAAAGGCAGGGCTTGAAGCCCTGTCATCTGGATATAGTATGAGCTCTTCACCGTGTGTGTGTGTGTGTGTGTGTGTGTGTGTGTGTGTGTGTGTGAGAGAGAGAGAGAGAGAGAGAGAGAGACGGAATTCCCAGAACTAGCCCCCTCCTAAGACCCTCCTGGGGCAAGTGTATCCCAGAATCCTGCCCCACCCTCTAATACCCAGCCACAGGTCCCAATGCCTGGCCTCTCCCTTGCTGTGCAGCCCTAAGCAAACCGCTAGCCCTCTCTGAGCCCCATCGCAAGAAGACAAAGTGGGCACTGATGAGTTCAGCACCACGGACAGGTCCCGGTCCAGCCTCCCATCAGAGGCCTCTGGTAGCTGGGAAGGGCCTTCTGGAGGGGGCCAGATCTCCCGCACAGCCCTCATCTGGACTCCACCCACTCTTCCCTTTCAGGGTTATTATTTTATTAGAGAGAGGTGCAAGGCTGGGTTTGTAGTTGATGCTCTAACTCCCCATCTGCCCCCACCTCCTGAGCCCTGGTGAGTCTGTCCAGAGGGGCGTCCTTCCCGGGGTTTCCAGCCTCTGGAAGAATGTGAGGTCAGGGAGGCCACTGCTGTGTCCCAGTGCTTGGAATTGGCCTTGCTTACAGTTCACACGCAATAATTGTCCACTTTACACTCACGGGCCACCACCCTGTAGAAGGCTGGACCCATGCTGGAGTCTTTGTGGACCTAGGAGGCATCTTTGCCAGGCAGTGTGAAATGAGGGGGAGGGGAGGGGAGGGGAGGGTGGAAGATGGGCAGGGCAAGGCCCATCTTCCAGCTGAGACTTGGCAGGACCTCAAAAATCCCAGAAACCAAGAATAGAATCTTGGCGACAATCAAATCCTGGAATTGAAGCTGAGAATCATGTCCTTCAGAAAACCCAGATTAAAGGCTGGCTTGGAGGCCAGCCTGTTGCCAGGACTGGGGACCCCAGGCAGACTGGGACTGGCTGTGGCCCTTTAGGAGCTCCCCCTCCCCCCAAGTCTAAATGAGGAGGCCAACTTGAAAAATGGGATTTTGATCTTGCCTCTGTTAAGGTTAATGATGATGATGATAATAATAATAATAGCTGAAATTTACTCTTTCATGCCAGACAGTTCTAAGCATTTTAAATGTATCGACTCATCTATTCCTTTCAAGTACCTGATGTTTTCCCCATCTGACGTACGAAGAAACTGAGACACAGAGAAGCTAAATTATTTGCTCAAGGTCACACAGCAAGGAACAGACACAGAGACAACTCCAGGTTCTGATTCACCCCAGCATCCATACTTCTGACCATGAGACATCACTGCTGGGATTCTGAAGTCAGCTGGTTCTGGGTTTGGATTCTGGCTCTGCCCTTGCTTGCTGCCTGTGCAACTTTGAATGACACACTGGCCTGTCTGAGTCCCAGTTTCCAGATCTGTAGAGGGGGGATTGGTTTTTCCATGCCAACTCTCTGGGGGGATTGTGTTCACCCCTCCCTCCCTCTCTTTCTTGATCCAGGTCCAGGATGGGGGCCATGCCTCTCTGGGCCTCGGGCCTCCTGGTGCTCCAGATACTGCTCTTGGTGGATGGGGAACAGGGTGAGTTGGCCTGTGCGGTGGGAGAGGTTGGGGTCTGGACAAGATGGGGCAGCGCTTTTTAACTCAAGAGTCTTTTCCTGCTGGTTCCCTGGCTTAGTGTGGAGAATAAAACGAGAATAGATGAAAAAGGTCTTTGAACAGTCAAAAGCCAACAAGACACCTGAGAGGTTATTTTTAGTCATTGCCAGCAAAAGCTGGAGGTTCCTGCCTCTCACCATTTTGCTATGATGAGCTAGAGAGAGAGAGAAAAAAAAAAGGAGGGGGAGGAAGGGAGGGAGAAAGGAAAAAGAGCAGAGAAGGGGGAGGGAATGGGGGAAGGAGGAGGGAGGAAAGAGGAAGGAATGAGAATAGTGTGCACATTGATTAGTGATGTCTGTCATGGACAGGGCAATAGAAATAAAGGTCTGTGTTCATCTCACTGGCATCTCCCCAGTGGTGGTCAAAAGCCCAGGCTTTAGAAATGCCTCCTGAATTGCTCTGTGGCCATAGGAAAGTACAACAATGTCTCTGAGCCTCAGTTTCCTCACATACCCCCCCCCCGCCCCCAAAAAAGAGGATGATGACATATGGCTACCTCTGCAGATAGTTATGAAAATCAGATGGGCTGCTTGCTATCTATAAAGTGCCTGTTCCATAGAAGGTTCTCTGCTACACCATGTCTCTCCCAATGGCTACCTCTCCCTTAACTTCTGGGGAAACCGTGTCTCAGAAAAGCACAGTGACTTTCCCAAGGTCACACAGTGAGTCAGTGACACAGAGTCACTGGCTTCAGGGACCTGGACTCTGAGTGGAGGCAGCATTACGAAGGGATTTGACCCCATTCCTTCTCTGCTGCTGACAGATTGGGGTGCAGATCTCTCTGGCCTGTGTCTCACTACCTATAAAGCGAGGGAAAGTCTCTGCTGGTCCTTGCCTCTGAGTTAGGCCTCCCCCCCCCCCCCAGGCACACAGGACACCACTGCTGTTGCCACGGCTGCTGCTGAGAAGGGGCTCCGCATGCAGAAGGTGGGGTCTGGTTCTGTGCGAGCTGCACTGGCGGAGCTGGTGGCCCTGCCCTGCTTCTTCACCCTGTGGCCACGGCTGAGTGCAGCTGGAGAAGCCCCTCGGATCAAGTGGACCAAGGTGCACACTGCATCAGGCCAATGGCAGGACTTGCCCATCCTGGTGGCCAAGAACAACGTGGTTAGAGTGGCCAAGGGTTGGCAGGGACGTGTGTCTCTGCCCGCCTATCCCCAGCACCGGGCCAACGGCACGCTGCTACTGGGGCCCCTGAGGGCCAGCGACTCCGGGCTCTACCGCTGCCAGGTGGTGAGAGGCATCGAGGATGAGCAGAACCTGGTATCCCTGGAGGTGACCGGTCAGTTGAGGGCAGGGGAAGGGTCAAGGCGGGGAGGGGAGGAGGTCACCCAGTGAATATCACCTAAGAAATATTAATTGGGCACCTCCCACATGCCAGCCTGGTGCTAGGGACACTGTCATGACTGAGATGCAGCTGCCACCTTCTGGGGCAGTGATGGTGAACCTTTTGAGCTCGGCGTGTCAGCATTTTGAAAAACCCTAACTTAACTCTGGTGTCGTGTCACATATAGAAATTTTTTGATATCTGCAACCACAGTAAAACAAAGACTTATATTTCTGATATTTATTTTATATACTTAAATGCCATTTAACAAAGAAAAATCAACCAAAAAAATGAGTTCGTGTGTCACCTCTGACACGCGTGTCACAGGTTCGCCATCACTGCTCTAGGGGCTCCCAGTTTAATAAGATGGAACAAAATGTTTCATTCCTGTATCTGGCTCAACCACTTCTTTCATCCCTAAATCAGAATCTGAGTCACAGAAAGTCCGTTCAATAATGGGCTTCCCATCCTGACTTACATGTCACCTCCTCCAGGAAGCCCTCCAAGCCTCCATGTCTAGGCTGGGCAATAACCACATTAGATCTTCCATTGCTGCCAGTGATTCCCCTATCAATGTATGTACTTAATTCCTAAAATGGCAGGATCTCTCTCACTCTTCTTCATACCTCCTGTCACCTCCTGGGCCTAACCATGGGCATGAAGAATGCTATCGTTGGAGTCAGATCTTCCAGGATATGAATTCTGGCTCTGCCTCAAACTGGCTGTGTGACCATGGCCATGTCACTGAACCTCTCTGAGCCTTAATTTCAATGAGATAACGCTTATAAATGCTTTTTACATAGTAAATATTGGACAAATTCTAGTCCTTTATGGCCATTGCTAACAGCTTCCTCATCTGTGAAATGGGGGCATATCAGTCTCATCCTCACCACTGCCCCTAGTGTCACGTCTAGTGCTGAGTGAAGGGCAGTGTAGGGCAGTAGTTCTATTATTATCAGACTAACGGGGGGAGGGGGAGGGCATTCTGCAGAAGGAGGTCTGTTCTTAAAGATTTCTGAATAAATAGGTCCCCTATTCTGGATGTCCCTTCACAGGTGTTGTGTTCCACTACCGGGCAGCCCAGGATCGCTATGCACTGACCTTTGTCCAGGCCCAAGAGGCCTGTCGTCTCAGCTCAGCCATCATTGCAGCCCCACGGCACCTGCAGGCTGCCTTTGAGGATGGCTTTGACAACTGTGATGCAGGGTGGCTCTCTGACCGCACTGTTCGGTGAGGGGGTGCACAGGGTGGGGAAATGGAGAGCTAGCCCCTGGGGAAAGATGGTTTTTGGGGGCCCCAGGAGCACACATCCTTGTCTTGTCAGGTATCCTATCACCCAGTCCCGTCCTGGTTGCTATGGTGACCGTAGCAGCCTTCCAGGGGTGAGGAGCTATGGGAGGCGCGACCCACAGGAACTCTATGATGTGTATTGCTTTGCCCGTGAGCTGGGGGGTAAGTCTGGGGCTGACAGGACCCTTCCCTTCCCTGAGCCCGTTACCTTCCCCAACCCCCATCCCTCCTAATCCTCATCCTTTAAACCTGCAGCCAAGACGTGGGCCCACCCCTGCCCTGCGCTCTCCTCCCCTCCCTGAGCCCCTCTCCTTCTCGGTGCCCCTTCCCTCGATCTGCGCCTCTTCCCTCTCTGAGGCCCCGAGCCTCTCCCCCTCACTATCCCCCTCTGCCCCTCTCCTCCTTCCTACCACCCCTTACCGAGCCCCTCCCTCTCTCTGAAGCCCGAAATGCCACATTTGTAAAAAGGAGTTAAAGCGGCCTCTTATTTGGAGCGAGCCCCCCTTCCCGGGTGGGCTCCAGGTAGGGTCCCCTAGGCCCGCCTGACCTCTGCTCACCCCTTCCGGCGCCTGCCTTTCCACAGGCGAAGTCTTCTACGTGGGCCCAGCCCGCCGGCTGACCCTGGCTGGCGCTCGTGCCCAGTGCCGCCGCCAGGGCGCCGCGCTGGCCTCCGTGGGCCAGCTGCACCTGGCCTGGCACGAGGGCCTGGACCAGTGCGACCCGGGCTGGCTGGCCGACGGCAGCGTGCGCTACCCGATCCAGACGCCGCGCCGGCGCTGCGGGGGCCCCTCCCCGGGCGTGCGCACCGTCTACCGCTTCGCCAACCGCACTGGCTTCCCGGCCCCTGGAGCGCGCTTCGACGCCTACTGCTTCCGAGGTGCGCGGGGGGCCACGCCCGGGCCAGTGTGTCCCTGGAGGTCCAGCCCCCGAGGGTGCGTCACTGATGGCCTTGCCCAAGGGCTCGCACCCCAGTCAAGGCCACGCCCCGGGAGCTTTGCTTGCTGGTGGAGGCGGAATCGGGGCAGGGAGGGACGCGGAGAAACTGCACCGCGATAAGCCACACCCCGGGTGAAGGCCATGCCCCTGAGACAGGCTTTCCCCTGGAGCCACGCTGGGCGTTAGAACGGGCCCCAGCTCTGGCTGGAAGGTCTAGGAGGTGGGCGATAGTCCTGAGGTCCCGGAAAGACGCGTCCCTGTATGGAGCGTTTCTTACCTGGAACCACGCCCGGAAGCGCCCTTTGAGAAGAGATACCTCGGCTAGCCACGCCCCTGGGCCAGGCCACATTCCCAGGGACCAGACCAGGGATGACCCTTGCACTTGGGGTGGAGCCACAGCCTCAAGCTGCAAACCTCAACTCAGAAGAGTTAAGTCTCAAAAAAAAAAAAAAAAAAAAATTAAGTCTTCCACGTAAGGGGACGGCGTCCCTTTGTAAAAAGGCCACGCCCATTAGGCGCTTTCTACCCCTGAGCTTCACCCATGAGCTAAGCTGTCTCTTGACCCTTCACTGGGTGCAAGCCTGAACAGTGGGGATAATAACTTTGCACCAGGCTCTCTCCTGGGGTATTCCAGAAACCACCCAGAGAGATAGAGGGTCACAGAGAGACAGGTCTATATGGCAGTGTGCTAGAATGTGGGTAGACTTCAAGAAGAACTTCCCAGCCCCTGAGCCTAATACAACCTCTTCTACTTTCTACCACAGCTCATTACCCTACTCCACAACATGGAGACCCAGAGACCCCCTCATCTGGGGATGAGGGGGAGATTCTATCGGCAGAAGGGCCTCCAGCCAGAGAACTGGAGCCCAACTTGGGGGAAGGGGAAGTGGTCACCCCTGACTTCCAGGAGCCGCTGCTGTCGAGTGGGGAGGAAGAGCCTGTGATCTTGGCAGAGAAGCAGGAGTCTCAAGAGACCCCCAGCCCTGCCCCTGGGGTTCCCACACTGGCCTCAAGGCCTTCCCTGGAGGCTAAGGAGGTGTGGCTGAGCACCTCGACCCCATTCTCCAGCAGCCTGGAGGAAGGCACTTCAGCTGGCACGCACAGCAAGGCGACTCCAGCCAACCTCAAGCCCAAGAGGCGGAATCGCTTTAAAGGGTTGAACGGGCGCCACTTCCAACAACAGGAATCCCAGCAAGGGCTGGAGGGAAGGCTTGAGGTCAGTGCCCAGCCTCCCACCCCAGAGGCTGCTGGGAATCATGTGGAGCCTCCCCTGGCCACCGGAGCCACAGACTCCTTTGGGAGTGACAGGAGCCAAAGCCCCTGGGCTGTGCTGTCCAATGAAGTGGATGTGCCTGGAGCTGGTGAGTGGGGTCCCAGGAGGAGGTGGGACATGAGTGGATGTCTGGGGGACAGGGAGGAGGCTCTGAACCCCTGCTGGGTCCCCGGGCCTTAGAAGCCCTCTCCTCCCCAGGCTAAACCAAGGAAACACTCACCGGAAGGAGCGCTGAGAGATAATTATTATTGTTGATATTGTTGCAGGTTCCCCTGGTGGCAGGAGCCCCCCAGAGCCCTGGCTGTGGCCCCCAACAGTGGTGCCACCCAGCATCCCAGGCCCCAGCAGGGCCTTTGGCCTCGAGTTGGAGGAAGCCAAGGGCCCCGGTGTGAGGCTTGATACTCTCAAACTTCCCTGGTCCCCCTCAGAGGCCACTGCTCTGGCTCCCAGCCCCTCAGAAGAACCCAGTAGTGTCCCCTGGGAGGCGTCCCCCATGGTCACTTCCCTAGACCTCCCTGTCATGGCCATGCTTCGTGCTGCCAAAGTGTGGCTCCTACCACATCCTACACCCCTCCCTACCCAGACCAATGAGGTTAAGGGTCATAGTGAGGCCATGGCATCTGCCCTACCTTCCCTGGCCTCAGAGACCCAGGCTGGTCCCCAGGACCCCATCCATCCAGAGATCTATTCCTTGCCCCCCTCCTTGGGCCTGACAGGACAAGGTCAAGAGGCCATGTTCCTGACATTCAGTGACCACAGAGCAGGAAGTCCCACAGCCCTCCCACAAGTAGCCACGGTTACACAAACCAGAGCCAGTCCTAATGCCCCCAGGGCAGACTTTGGAGAAATTGGGGGGACCAGCCCCACTGGACTCAACAAAGCTGAGCACCCCAGATCCAGCCCACAGGCTTCTGTGGATTGGAATGTGGCAGCAGATTTCACCCTCACAGAGATGGCAACTGAGCCCACGGGAGGGAGAGGAATCTCAGGGTCTGAGTATGGGGTCCTCTACACAGCAGAGAGTCCCACTTCCAGCTCACAGGCCCCTGTGCAAGAGGCGCAGGGCACGAGCCCCTCACTGCACATCAAAGAGCTGGACCCCCACACCCCCTCTGCACCGTCGGGGGACCCCAGAGTTTCCCTGAATTTGGAGCCTTGGGCTGCTACAGATGAAGGAGGTACAGAGGGTCCCACGGATACAGCCACAGTGGACCCCAGTGATGCTGGTAGGATTTGGGAATCTGGATCCCTCATGGTTGAAGGAGCTGAACGCCCCACCATGAGCCCTCAAGTGGCTGTGGATACGAATGTGGTGACGTTCCTCGTGTCCCTGGACCAGGGGGACAAGGGTGGGGTCCTGGCCACGTCCACTATGGACTCCTCCAGCTCCCAACCCCACCCAGAGCCAGAGGTGGTGACCCAGGGAACACTGGAAGCCTTGGCCCCTCCGCATGAGGGCATCCCCCTGGGGGATCCCACTCTTCCTCCTTGGACGCCTACAGTGGCCAGCATGGACGAGCCTGTGTCAGTGTCCTCAGGGGAGCCAACGGTGCTATGGGACTCCCCCAGCACTCTGCTGCCTGCCTCTCGGGTCCGGGACAAGTTTGCGCTGGAGGTCCTTGCAGGAAGTGCTGGTGTGGAGGAGGCATCGAGCGGAGAGGAGCCGGCCCTGCCAGGGGCCCCTGCAGATGGGAGCGCAGAGCAGAGTGAGTTCAAATTTTGTGGCCTCATTCAGCCCACTGTGGTCAGGGCTTGGGGACCAGGGGCCAGGGGAGCTCTGGGTAGGGAAAAGGGGTTGTTCCCGGGGGCCTGGGAAGGTTTCTAGCAGGAATAACATTGTAGGTGGGAATTTATCAGGTGAGTTGAATTACAGAAAGGATGTTTCTGGCAGAGGCACCAGCCTGGGCAAAGGTTGGAGAACAAGTTGATGTGCTTTAAGGCACAGTGAGTGATGGGGGAATGATGAGGTGTTGAGTGGAGTTGGATTTTGGTTCAATTAACAACTCATGTTCATGGCCACACAGAGCCAGACAGTGCTATACAATGCTGGGGGCCGGCCTTCAGTGATGCCCCAGTCTGGGAAAGACAGAGCCAGACACAGATTTCCCACCCCAGGTGGGGCTGGAGGGAGGAGGCATAGTGGGATTCAGTGGTGCATTTTCTGGGGGACCTTGAGCCACAGGAAAACTGGGCACTGGGAAGGGGTTGGAGTATTGTATAGCCTAGTGGTATAGACAGCAAACTGACACTCAGGGAGGAATGTCACTACCAGCTAGTCAGTGGCCAGACTTCAGAGGGAACCCAAGTCTGCATACGCCTCAGCTGCTCTTTGCTCAGCAAAATCTAGAAAAAGCTACCACCCTGTTCTCCTGGAGCCAGGTCTGCCCGAAGCTCTCCTACAAATTCTGGCCCTTTTTTTTTTTTTTTTAAAGAAATGTATTTTTTTATTGAGGAAGGGAGAGGGAGAAAGAGATAGAAACATCAATGGTGAGAGAGAATTATTGATCAGCTGCCTCCTGCATGCCCCCCACTTGGGATAGGGCTCACAACTTGGGCATATGACCTGGCCGGGAATTGAACCGTGGTCTCCTGGTTTAGGTCCACACTCAACCATTGAGTCACGCTGGCCGGCCCAGGCCTTTTCTTATGTCCTGCATATTGAGCGTTTTTGGTTTTGTTTTTTGGGGGTTTTTTTTTTTGTCAAATGAGCTTTTAAAAACACCAGCATCTAATGAAAAGGCACTTTTTTTGGAGTTGCAAAAACACTTATTAACACAATTGGTTTTACACTTGCTTTCTTTTTTGAAGGCAAAGTGTGCATGATGGGAATAGCAGGTACAGGGTTTTGTCACCAACCCTGTCACCTCTAGGCTAGATTTTCTTTTCTTAGATGCTCAGGAGGCAGGCAGACACGGATACATGAATTGATAAAGGCTGATGCTTATTGGTAACTGCCCACGTACTTGGCTTGTTTGAGCACTTTACGGGAATCATCTTGATTGATCCTTTTAATGTCCTTGTGGAACAAGTTCTAGATGACCTTTACTTTAGCATGGGGAGACTGAGGCCCAGGGAGGTCTAGTGACTTGTGCAGACTCATGCAGCTGGGACTGTTAAGGATGAGGTTTGAATCAGGCCAACTAACAACATGGTCTCTCTCAACCACTAGGCTGTACAACATGTATTTCATTGGCGTAAAACACACACACACACACACACACACACACACACACACACAAAACCCTGAGGTTTGGGGAGGCGTGAACTTGCTCTGGAGGGAGCAGAGAAGAGGCTAGCTGTAGGCGATGGGCAGCGGGAAGGAGGTTCAACGTCAAAGGAGCTAGAAAAGGGGAGTCCGAGAGGTGGGAGGTAGACCATGCAGGGTATTGCAAAGGGAAGCCTGTTTGGGTCTGCCTTGGAGCCAGTGGCAGTAGGGTTAGAGAGAGGCAGGCAGAGCTAAGGTGGGGGGAAGGGGATCTGGGTGCCTAGCCACCCTATGCTTGCTGCAGAAATGCTAATGAAGCCAAAAATAAATGCAGCACCAGTGAGCGACTGAGTCACCGCCAGTCCGTGGGCAGCTGTCGGCAGCTCGGGTCACCGGGCAGGGCTCACATAGTCCCATGCCTAGCAGTCTTGCGCATGTGCACACACAGGACAGACACAGCCACAGGCCCCTCTGGCAACCCCTGGGGGCCCATGCCACCACCCCAGGGATCCGCCTCTGTCCCTATAGGAAGGCCAGCAGCTACCTTCATTCAGTTAGCAAGCAATTACTAAGTGCCGGCTATGTGCCAGGCCCCAGGCTGAGACCAAGTCACTTGTCCTCTGGAAGCTGGCCTTCTAGAGCAGCACTCTAGAACTTGCCCAGTGATGGAAATGTTCTGGAGCTATGCTGTCTAATACACCAGCAACCAGCCCCACATGGCTACTAAGCCCTTGAAAGCAGCTAGTGAGACTGAGGAACTACATTTGTACTTTCATTTGCTTTTAATTAATTTAGACTTAAAAAGCTATATTTGGCTGCTATGTGGAACATCATCGCTCTGGGGGAGGCACAAACACATAACAGTGATCCTAATGAATAGCTAAATGATATTGGAGGTTAGAAAGTGATTGGGCAGCCCGCTGGTTTGGCTCAGTGGATAGAGTGTCAGCCTGTGGACTGAAGGGTCCCGGGTTCAGTCCTGATCAGGGGCACATGCCCGGGTTGTGGGCTCGATCCCCAGTGGGGGGCGTGCAGGAGGCAGCCGATTAATGATTCTCTCTCATCATTGATGTTTCTATCTCTCTCTCCCTCTCCCTTCCTCTCTGAAATATATATAGTGATTGGGCAAAGAGACACGTCAAACAAGGGGTGGGAGATGCCAGGGAGTGGTTTCTGGAAGGGGAATCAGAAAGGCCTCTCCTGGCAAATGACATTTGAACAAGTCTGAAGGAGGTGAGGGAGGAGCCATGCAGAAATCTGGGGAAAGAGTGTTCCAGGCAAAGGGAACAGCTATGTAAAGGCCCTGAGACAGAACCCTGCCTGGCATGTAAGAACAGCAAGGTCGGTGTGGCTGGAGCAGAGTGAGTGAGGGAGAGAGCAAGAGGTAGGGCAGGGGGATGTTTGTCAGATCTCCCAGGGCCCTGTGGGTAGCAGTGAGGGCTTCGCCTGTCCCCTGAGGGCAATGGGGAGCCATGGAAGGATCTAGGCAGAGGAGGGACATGACTTGACTCAGGTTTACATAGGCTCCCTTGGCAGCTCTGGGGAGAATAGCCTGTTGAGGGTGAGAGTGGAGGCCAGGAGACCTAGGAATTGGTGACAGCTTATTGCCACCTCAGTTCTTGTGAGGCTCTAGACAAGCCCAAAATAGAAACAAATTCTAGGTTATAGGGGCCGGAAAGAGGGCCTTAAACTGGGCTACCGGGGCCCAGGAAGTCAGTTTTGGCTCTTGTATTATCCCACTATGCAGCACTGAACCAAGCCCTTCCCTTCTCTGGACCTCAATTCTAGTGTCTGTGCGGTGGAAGTGGTGGGTGCCCTGACAAGGGAAGGGGGTTGGTTGGCTGGGGGTTCCAGTCGTTAGAGTGGAGAACACCCACCAAGGCATCTGGGTCCCTGAGATGGGGAGGGGAGATCCTCCTTCCTCCAGGGAAACCCAGCTGATGGGGGAAATGGGAGAGGGGGACAGGGACCCACATTCCTAAACGCACCCTGGGTGCCTGGGAATGCTGAGATCCCTCAAGAGGCCCCACGCTAATATACACAGAGCCAGCCATGGCCTTATGGTGAGGACTGAGAGAGGTGAACTGCTTTTATTTCCATTTCGTAGATGAGGCAACTGAAATTCAGAGAAGCAATTTGCCTAGGGTCCCCGAGTGAGGGGCAGAGCCAGGGATTGAGCTAAACTCTCTGACTCCAAAGTCTGTGGTTATGACCACTATAATCCATAAACTCTCCACAATGTCACGACTGAAACTACATCAAAAGAGGCTGAGCCCAAATGAAGGAGATGTTGATTCCCTAGTGCTGTTCATACTCCACCATCTAGAACCTTACGTCCACTTCTGTGCTCCAAACTGTGAGAACTACAATGGCCAGCAGGGTATGTCCAGAAGGAAAGGACAAGTCAGGGAGGGCACTTAAATCCATGTTCTAGAAGATGACTTAAAATATATATATATCGATTTCAGAGAGGAAGGGAGAGGGAGAGAGAGATAGAAGCATCAATGATGAGAGGGAGTCATTGATTGGCTGCCACCTACACGGCCTCTACTGGAGATTGAGCCCACAACCTGGGCATGTGCCCTTGACCAGAATTGAACCTGGGACCCTTCAGTCCGCAGGCCAACACTCTATCCACTGAGCCTAACTGGCTAGGGCTGGAACATGACTTTTTTTTTTTTTTAAATATATTTTATTGATTTCTTACAGAGAGGAAGGGAGAGAGATAGAGAGTTAGAAACATCAACGAGAGAGAAACATCGATCAGCTGCCTCCTGCACACCCCCTGGGCATGTGCCCGCAACCCAGGTACATGCCCCCGACCGGAATCGAACCTGGGACCCCTCAGTCTGCAGGCCAACGCTCTATCCACTGAGCCAAACCGGTTTCGGCTGGAACATGACTTTTTAAGAGAAGCTTTGGGAAGCCCATTCCAGTTCAGTCAGAGAAAGAACTTTTCGCCGGCAGGGCAGCCCACAGATGCTTTGGGAGCAATTTCTGGAAGGAGTAAACTTGTCACAGAAGCACGTGAGAGGAAGGTGGTGATGACCTACCGGGAAGTCATAGAGGGGACTCCACAGAGAGGGACCGAGCCAGAGGCCCTCAGGTGCCTGAGGTCAGGATTCTGGGAGGGCAGATCTGCTGTTCTGACTGCCCCTGAACTGCCTGTCTGTCCTGCAGCCCCCTCGGATCCCTGCGAGAACAACCCTTGCCTACACGGGGGCACCTGTAGAGCCAATGGCACCGTCTATGGCTGCAGCTGTGACCAGGGCTTTGCTGGGGAGAACTGTGAGATCGGTGAGTGCCACAGACTCGGGATCAGAAGCTGGACTTGTCTGACTCCAGAGCCCTGGGGTTTGTTTGTTCACCACAGCAGTCAACCCCATGAGAACGCAGGGTTCACAAATGCTGGCTGCAGAGCTTCCTTCCCTCCCCACTCCTTGGATCCAGGAAATCCGCCCCAGCACCAGCCGATGAGCTCTCATCCTGGGGGCTGAGGCTCTGGCGTGCTGCCTCCCATTACTACCAAGCAGGGGTAAAGGAGGGCAAAGGGATGGTAAGGTTCAGGCTCCTTCCTTCCAAGGGCTCCAGGAATCCTACCCTTTCCTGGGTGGGCAGGGGTGTAGGTACCACCAGCAGAACAGTTGGATACTAGCCCCAAACCCCAACATAAGAAACACAACAAATTATGAAATTAGAACAATAAATATAAATAATACAATTTCTTGAACTCTGTTCATTATCTCATCAATTTCACAACTATATTAATAATAGAAATATAACAGGCCCTAACCAGTTTGGCTCAGTGGATAGAGCCTAGGCCTGCAGACTGAAAGATCCCAGGTTCGATTCTGGTCAAGGGCATGTACCTTGGTTGCGGGCACATCCCCAGTGGGAGTGTGCAGGAGGCAGCTGATCGATGTTTCTCTCTCATCGATGTTTCTAACTCTCTATCCCTCTCCCTTCCTCTCTGTAAAAAGTCAATAAAATATATTTTAAAAAAGAAATAAAACAATAAATATACATGATATTAAATTTTTATTTTAAATATGTTTTTTATTGATTTCGGAGAGGAAGGGAGAGGGAGTAAGAGATAGAAACATCAATGATGAGAGAGAACCATTGATCTGCTGCCTCCTGCATGCATCCCCACTGGGGATCGGGCCCAAAACCCGGGCATGTACCCTGACCGGGAATAGAACCATGACCTCCTGGCTCATAGATTGACACTCAACCGCTGAGCCACGCTGGCTGGGCAATGATATAAACTCTTGAGCTCTTTCATTGACTCTCCACTCATAACCACCTTTGAGGAGGTGCCATTATTACTAACACTGCAAAAACAACAACAACTGGGTCTCAGAGAGTGGACGTGGTATCATACATGCCTCAAGCCCTGTCTGCACAGGGGTGGTAGAAGAGGGAGTTCAACTGGATAGCTGTCTCTACAGTTTTCTGACTCCCTGTTCCTTGCAAATGCTCTGGAACCCAGTTTCCCTAGGTTCCACATTCCAAAAAGACCCTGAAGCTTCGACATTCTCTGGGTCTGTTGGCAAGGGTATAGCCTTCATTGTTCTGGAGTCGGGTGGAATGCTCTGCACACCTGGCCCCAGCCAACTCAGTGACATCTGCTCTCATTAATGCTAAGTTATGCGAGGCTCCACCCTCTCGACCTCCAGAGGCGAGGAGCCATTGTGCAGACCAGGATGGATGCACTTAGGTCCAAGATGGCTGGCAGGGTCATGGCCCCATCTTCTGCCTGGTTTCCTGTGGGGCCTGGGAGCCAAGGGTTGCCTGTGGGGAGGCTGACCTCTGACTCAGCCCCTCCTTCTCCCCTCCAGACATCGACGACTGTGTGTCCAGTCCCTGTGAGAATGGAGGTACCTGCATCGATGAGGTCAACGCCTTCATCTGCCTTTGCCTCCCAAGCTATGGGGGCAGCCTCTGTGAGAAAGGTGAGTCTCTGCTGAGACCCCAGAAACAGGAGGGGAGGTGGGTGTCGGGCCACAGGCCTCCAGCTCTGGTTCCATGACTGTGAGTCCAATAGGCAAACTGTTGGAGGCAAACTGTTTTGTTTTTAGATAACATCCACTTAACATAGAATTAACCCTTTTAGAGTGAACACTTCAAAAGGAATTCAGTACATTTGCAACGTTTTACAGCCACCACCTCTAGCAAGTTCCAACATATTTCCCTCAGTTTAAAAGGAGACCCTGCCCCATTACTAGTCACTCTTCACTCCCCATCTACCCAACCTTGGCAACCACTAATCTGTTTCTGTCTTTGTGGATTTGCCTGTTCTGGACATTTCATATAAATGGAATCACACATTATGTGTCTGGCTTCTTCTCCTCAGTATCATGTTTTTGAGGTTAACCCACATGTAGCATATGTCAGTGCTAAATTCTTTTTTGTGGCTGAAAAACATTCATGGTATGGATAGACCGTTTTGCTGATCAATTCATCCATTGGTGGTAATTTGGGTTGCTTTCCCCTGGAAGCTAATATAAATAGTACTGCTATGAACATTCATGTACAGGTTTTTGTTAGAATACGTTTTCTTTTTAAAAATATTTTTACTGATTTGAGAGGGGGGGGTAGGGGAGAGAGAGAGAAACATCAATGTGAGAGCAAAACATCAATTGGCTGCCTCCTGCACGCCCCCTACTGAAGATCAAGCCTGCAGCCCACAACCTGGGCATGTGCCCTGACCAGAATCAAACCGGCAACCTTTTGGTGCATGGGGCAACACCCACCAACTGAGCCACCAGCCAGGGCAGAACACCTGTTTTCTATTCTTCCACCACCACCACCACCCGCCCCACTCTTCTTGGTTTATACCTAGAAGTGGAATGACTGGGTCACATGGTAATTCTATGTTTACCTGTTTGAGGAACCATGAGACTGTTTTCAACAGTGGCTGCCCATTTTACATTCCCACCGGCAGTGTACAGGGTTCCAGCGTCTCCACATCCTCACCAGCACTTGTTATTTTCCCGTTTGAAAATTATACTAGTAGCCATCCTAGTGGGTGTGAAGTGGTGTCTCATTGTGGTTTTGATTTGCATTTCCTAATGACTAATGATCTTTTCATGTGCTTCTTGGTGATTTGTCTATCTCTTTGGGAGAAATGTCTAATTGAGCCCTTTGCCAGGAGGGAAATTTTAGGCCTTTCTGAGATCATTTCCCGAGTTCCCAGGTCCACACTGAGGGTGTGGTCCTGCAGATCAGAGGAGACATCAGAGGTGGGAGGAGAGGGGATGGGTGTAAAGATCTTCCAGTTGAATCGCTTCCAGAAACAAAGAAAAGAAGTGAATATGGGAGGGGGAGCTGAAAGGGGGAGAGAGAGCCTCCGGGGGTGGGGATTGGCCCAGAGAAAGGGGTGACCTAGCCCCACAATGACCTTGGATAGGCCCTCTCTCTGGTAGACTGGCTGTGTTCAAGCCAGCAGGGCAGACTTCTCAGGCCAAGGACAGTGCCCCTCACACTCCCTTCCTGCTTCCCAGACACGGAGGGCTGTGACCGCGGCTGGCACAAGTTCCAGGGCCACTGCTACCGGTACTTTGCCCATCGGCGGGCGTGGGAGGATGCCGAGAGGGACTGTCGCCGCCGAGCTGGCCACCTGACCAGCATCCACTCACCTGAGGAACACAACTTCATTAACAGTAGGGACTCTGGGGTGGTCAGGGTGGCCCTGCGGTCCTTTTTGCCAGGGAAGTCCCCAGGATCCTGAAGACACCACCTTCCTGAAACTGTGTTCATTAGTGCAAGCCATGGCCACTTAATAATTCCCATGTCTGTTTATTCATTTGTTAATTCATATATTCACTGTATTCATTCGTTCATTCATCATGTATTTACCAAGCACTTGCTCTGGGACACAGCAGCGAGCAAGATGCACATTGTCCCGTCCTCGGGGAATAACATTCTTGTGGGGGAGTAAATATCTAATTAACGACGTCTGTACTATAATTTAGCTGGTCCTAAGTATGCTGATGACAAATTAAATGGCCAGGGGGTAGAGGGCGACGGGAAGCATCTGTGATGTGTGGGATAAAATGAGCCAGGAGCTGTGCAGAGACCTAGGAAGAGTGTCACATTAATTAAATCCGGCATTTATTGATTCATTCATTATCCTTTCTACCTTCTGTGCATCCATCCATGTATTCACATTTCCCCTATTCCATCCACTAATTCTTTCTTCTTTTTTTTTTTGCTTTTAAAAGACTTCATTGGGGAAACATACATGGGTGGGAACTGTCCTCAGAAATATCTCAGGACACTGTTCTCCATCTCGCTGGGCAGTTGCAGTTTCCAGAGGCCCCTGCTCCGAAGCATCTGACCAGTCACAGCATCTGTGACTCCTGGAGGGGCCCAGCCCTGGGCGTGGCCACACTCCCCACCCCCATCTCCTAATTCTTTCATTTGTTCATTCCCTGGGTCACTCGTTTCTTGTTCCTCACGTCAATCAAATATCCTCCTCTCCTTCCTCTGTCCTCAGTGACTACCTGGTCCACTGGGTATCACCGCTGTCCTGTCTAGAGCCACCGTGGACTTTCCTGTCCCTTACTGTCATTTCTGCGAAGATACGACGGTCTTTGTTAATGCCTTACTCTGGCCATTTGTTTAAGCCACATATTTGTGGCAAAGCAAGTGCCAAATAAGTGTTTTCTGTGCCCCATCCCCACCCCCAGGGTAGAGAGCAGCCAGAGCCCCAGGCTGCTGGGAAATGGGGGACCTGGCCTCCAGCCTGTGCCCAGGCTGAGGGAGAGTCTGGATCCTCCCCCCCCCCCCCCCCCCCCCCCGCCTCTGGCCTTTGGCTCCTGCCCCACCTCCATCCTTCCACCTCCATTCCCTTTCCCCTCCAGGCCACCTCCAGGCAAAGGAAGGGCTGGGTGCTCCCCTCCACCCCCAGCTGGCAGCCTAGGCACTGGGGAGAGGCAGGCACCCAGTCCTGAAAACCCCCCAACCCGCAGGCTTTGGGCGTGAGAACACGTGGATTGGCCTGAATGACAGGATCGTGGAGAGGGATTTCCAGTGGACGGACAACACAGGGCTGGTGAGTGGCGGGAGCCTGGGTCTCTGCTACCAGGCTGCTGACTGGGGGCCCACCTACAACAGCGGGGTATGGGTGAGCCCCATGCCCTTTGCTCTGGCTTCACTTCACCCTCTTATGCAAATGAGCCGTCAGAGGTCTGAAGCGGCAAGTGAGCTTTAGTGAAGCCCGAAAGCACCCAACTTCCCAGCCAGGTAGAGGGCCCATCTACCTACTGACTGAAGCTGGGAACCCAGGACGGGACAACTCCGTTACTCATATCGACTGGTCCTCCTCCAGCCATAGGCTCTGAGGAACTCCCATTTCCCTACATGCCCCTGCCTGCTCGGTCTCCACTGGGACCCCTGCAGCAGCCCCCCCGGTCCCCCCCCCCCCCCCCCGCACACACACTTGCTACCTACACCCCCGCCCCTCTACCTGGTGACCAGGGGTGCCCCTCTACCTCAGTTTTTAAAAAATTGAGGTAAAATTCACATAATAAAATTAACCATTTTCAAGTGTATAATTCAGTGGCATTTAGTATATTCACAACATTGTGCAACCACCATCTCTGTGTGGTTCCAGAATATTTTCAACACCCTGAGGGAAACCTTGACCATGGGACCTTTTAAAAACTATACATCAGCCCTGGCTGGTTTGGCTCAGTGGATAGAGTGTTGGCCTGCGGACTGAAGGGTCTCAGGTTCAATTCCAGTTGAGGTCACATACCTGGGTTATGAGCTCGATCCCCAGTGGGGACCATGCAGGAGGCAGCCGATCAATGATTCTCTCATCATTGATGTTTCTATCTCTCTCTCCCTCTCCCTTCCTCTCTGAAATCAATAAACATATATTTAAAAAATAAAATAAAATAAAAACCATACATCAGATCAAGATTCTCCCTGCTTCAAGCCCTGTCAGACTCCCCCATGGTTCTCAAGATAAAGACCCACCTCCTCATGCTATGCGAAACAGTCTGGCAGGTCCTCAAAAAGTTAAACATAGAATTCACACACGACCCAGCAATTCCACTCCTAGGTATGTGCCCAAAAGAAGTGAAAGCCGGGACTCAGATACTGGTACACACCTGTTCACAGCGGCACTAGTCATAATTGCCAAAAGGAGCAACCCAAATGTCCATGATCAGATGAATACACACACAAAATGTCGTCCAGGCAAACAAATACAATGAAAAAAGGAGTGAAGCACTGTCACACACGATAATGTGGATAAGATTTGAAAACATGATGCTCAGTGAAAGAAGCCAGACGTGGCAAGGTGGCTCAGTTGATTAGAGTGTCGTTCCGATACACCAAGATTTCAGGTTCAATCCCCAGTCAGGGCACATACAAGAAGCAACCAATGAATGCACAGATAAGTGGAACAACAAATCAATGTTTCTCTCTCTCTCTATTTCTCTTTCTCTCTCAAAATGAATGAAAAAGAAAAAAGGGTGATCTAAGAAAGAAGCCAGACCTAAAAGGACACATATTGTATGATTCCATTTATATGAAATATCCAGAACAGGCAAATACATATAGATAGGAAGTGGATTTGTGGTTGCCAGGGGCGGGGGAAGGGGAGATGGGGAGTTACTGTTTGGTGTGATGAAAAAGTTCTGGCAACAGACAGTGGTGATGGTTGTACAACTTTGTGGATCCTAATTAATGGCAATGAACTGAACACTTAAAAATTATTAAAACGAGTCCTGGATGGTGTGTTCAGTGGTTAGAGCGTCCGTCTGCACACCTAAGGGTCAAAGGCACGTACCTGGGTTACACGTTCAATTCCTGGCAACCAATGGATGTGTCTCTCTCACATCCAGGTTTCTTTCTTTCTCTCTCCTCCCCTCGCTGCTCCCAAGCTTCTTTCTCTCTCCTCCCCCTCGCTGCTCCCTTCCACTCTGTCTAAAAAATCAATGAAAAAATATCCTTGAGCCTAGCCAGTGTGGTTCAGTGGTTGACATTGGCCCACGAACCAGGAGGTCACAGTTCGATTCCCGGTCAGGGCACATGCCCTGGTTGCCAGCTCAATCCCCAGTAGGGGGCGTGCAGGAGATAGCCGATCAATGATTCTCTCTCATCATTATTTTATTTTTCTCTCTCTCTCCCTTCCTCGCTCTGAAATCAATAAAAACATACAAAGAAATATCCTCAAGTGAGGATTAACCAAAAAAAAAGTATTAAAATGGTAAATTTTGTTATGTGTATTTCACCATAATTGAAAAAGAATCCACCTCTTCTCCTCTACCCCAAGAACTGGCCCTGCCCACCCTCTGACCACACCCAAACTCCATCAAGACCTTCAACCCCCCTGGCCTATATTCCATTCCTCAAACAGGACAAGCTTAGTCCTGCCTTTGGGCTGTGGCACTAGCTGTTTCCTCTGCTTGTTCTCTGCCTGCATCATTCTTTTCCCTGAGTCTTCAGCTCTCTGTTGCCTCCTCAGGGAAGCCATCATGGACTTCCAGGCTGAGGTCACCTTTTGTTCAACCATTTATCTAACAGTGAGTGACCCATATTGGAAACAGACTATTAGGGAGCAAGACAGGGGGCAGGGGCATGAGGGAAGACGGCACAGCAGCCTCCCAGCCAGAGGAGGGGTGACTCAGGTCGCACTGGCAGTCACCCGCAGGGCAGGCAGACAGTGCCCATTCTACAGATAGAAAGACTGAGTCCCTAAGGGTTTGAGTGGTCTGCCCAGGGGAGCCCCACAGTGGACAGTGCCAGAGTCTGAGGCAAGATGCTGGTTCCCTGAGCACCCCCTTCCTGCTCCATGTTTCTGCAGCAATATGAGAACTGGAGAGAGAACCAGCCAGACAATTTCTTCGCGGGCGGGGAGGATTGTGTGGTGATGGTGGCACATGAAAGTGGGCGCTGGAACGACGTCCCCTGCAACTACAACCTCCCCTATGTCTGTAAGAAGGGCACAGGTACGCTGCCCCCCTGCCCCCTTTCCCTCCTGTGGCTCACATTCATGCGTTCATGAGTTTTTTAAGTGTGTAAATGTAAGAGTCAGCCAATTTTCAATCTCCAGCACTGTATGAGAGGGCCCATTTTTCCCATCCTTGACAACTTGATGCATTCTCAAACTTTCTATTTTTTGTTCATCTAAGTCAGTGGTTCTCAACCTTCCTAATGCCGCGACCCTTTAATACAGTTCCTCATGTTGTGGTGACCCCCAATTTCATTGTTACAAATTGAACATAATTAAAGCATAGTGATTAATCACAAAAACAATATTTAATTATATATGTGTTTTCCAGTGGTCTTAGGCGACCCTTGTGAAAGGGTCATTGGACCCCCAAAGGGGTCGCGACCCACAGGTTGAGAACCGTTGATAAGCGATGAAAAAAATAGTATCTCAATGTTATTGTAGTTCGCACATCTTCAAGGTTGAGAATGACTAGCTGTTCATATGTTGATAGGCTATTTATCTGTATTTATTTGCCTGTGGCCTGCCAGGTCATCTCCTTTGCCTAATTTTCTATCGGCCTGTCGGTCTTACTGATTTGCAAGCGTTCTTTACATATTAAGGAAACATTTACATGCATTCTTGTGACCACCTTTCTCTTATACTTTTGTTCATTCTTGCTTCCATTTCTTTGCCAATTATCATATCCTTACTTCCTTGTATTTGCTCAAATTATTCTTACCTCCCATCTCCTTCATCCCTGTCATGAATAAGAATTAGGGGGTGGGATGTGTCCAGGAGGTTCCTGCCTGGAAGGGGCTCCAGGTCTGGGTGGAAGAGACAGACACAATCACTTCTCGCCCTGGGAGGTCACAGCTGGGCAAAGGGCAGGACCTGCATAGGTGTGTCATTCCTAACAAGAGAGGAAACCATTCATCCCGCTATGGCCACTCTCCTAACTGGAGGTTCCTCCGTCCCCAGTGCTGTGTGGTCCCCCTCCAGCAGTGGAGAACGCTTCGCCCATCGGGGCCCGCAAGGCCAAGTATAATGTCCATGCCACTGTACGCTACCGGTGCGACGAAGGATTTACCCAGCACCACGTGTCCATAATCCGGTGCCAGAGTAATGGCAAGTGGGACTGGCCCCAAATCGTCTGCACCAAACGTAGGTGGCTCCCCCGCCCCCCACCCCCGACACCCAACACGTTTCCAGTTGTCTGTAGTCTCCAATTGAAACATCTGATGACTATATGCATTGATTTGAGTAAATGTCTGCCTGATAACACAGCCTTGCAGATAAAGATCAGCTTGCCTGGTGTCTCCTCCATTTCCCGTCCCCCTGAGGAGGGCCGCTACGTCAGGCCACTGCTTCTCACCGCCTTTTGCTACTTCCCTGTCTTCCTTCATTTCCCTGCAGCCAGAAGGTCCCATCGGATGCGGCGACACCATCACCACCACCAACATCACCACCAGCGCCACCACCACAAATCACACAAGGAACGCAGAAAACACAAGAAGCATCCGGCAGAGGACTGGGAGAAGGAGGAGGGGAATTTCTGCTGAAGAACCAGGCAAACGAAAGCACAACCCCCTTCTCACGCCTCCTCTGGGGCCTTCGCCTGGGAAGATAGAGCCTAGAGAGAAACGAGAGGGCCCGGAAGCCCCTGAGCCCCAAGCCCCCTCCCCCACCTTTTGTAAAAAGCTCCTCTCTCCTCTTTCTTACATACACAGGTCCTCTTGGCAGGCGTGGCCATGCGTCTGAAAATCCAGTTCTAGTCAGGCTGGACTCTGGGAGAATCTCAGTGGAAGGAAGCACAATTGGCAAAGATGACTCTTTGCTGCACTTGTTGGCAAGGCTCACTGGCAGTTGTGGAGATAAGGCTTTGATGAGGGTGCAAGAGTGTCTGTTTGGATCTGCACTAAGGAATTGCTTTTCCTGCCAGATCCAGGCTTTGTAAATTGTCGGATGTCCTAAATGCAGCCTGAAGCCTTTAGTGACTGCGTTGGGAATCAAAAACTACGTGGAAGCACACCGCTTGAACTTGACAACTGCTCTTCCATGACCTTGGACTTGAACCCAAGTTCAGCCTTTGGTCTTGGTGGGTAAACAGTCTTGAACTCCTATGTACTGAATGTTGGGGATGTTTTTAGAACAGCTTCCTTCCATGCCCTCAGAGTTAGGGGTCAGAATAGTCAGGGCAATATGTGGGCAATGACCGGAAGGTATTGCTTATTCTCCCAGGTCTTGTCCCAGAGCTGAGGTTTGGTGGTTCTGCATGTGTGGTGACACACACACACACACACACACACACACACACACACACGGATATTTAGGGCTTGACAAGCCCAGATTTCTTCCCCCTCCATCTCTCAGGGAGACGAAGAACCTCCTTCCTGGACCAAGGAGGTGCCCAGTTTTCTAGATCAGTGCCCGTACCCATCCCTCAAGCAGACATTGCTAGTGCACTGCCCTGGAGCCCACTCCTATTGCCACCCCAGCCCTGTCTCCAGTCATTGCCTGGAAGACTAGAAATGCTTACAGATTGAAGTAGTGACATCTACCTGCAGTCATGTTGTAGAGGGATATAGTGTTAAAACTGAAACACACACATTTTTCTCTCATAGTTTTTTTTTTTTTATAACACTTTTATTGATTTCAGAGAGGAAGGGAGGAGAGAGATAGAAACATCAATGATGAGAGAGAATCATTAATTGGCTGCCTTTTGCACGCCCCCTACTAGGAATTGAGCTGCAACCGGGCATGTACCCTTGACCAGAATCAAGCCCGACACCCTTCAGTCCGTAGGCCGATGCTCTATCCACTGAGCCAAACCGGCTAAGCCATAGTTGGTTTTTTTCAAGCTTTTTTAAGTGGGAAAGAACGCAGCTGGCCTTCCTCCCCCAAATCTGCAACCTATGAAAGGACTTTCCAAGCTGAAGGCCGAAACCAGCTCCCTGATCTCCCGGAGGAAAGATCCACAGCTTTTCCTCCATGTTTTGTCGACTCTAAGCCCCTTCGGTCTGGTAAAAATCTGTGGATTCGTATTAAAAACCACAGTGGAGACTGACTCTCCAGGAAGGAAAATAAGCAAATATATGGTCCATCGAAGGGTTCGGTAGAGAAAAGAATGTGTTGACTGAGCCTATATCCCTCCTGGGAAGTAATAATTATAGCTGACAACTTTGGAGTCGGTACCATGCTAATAACTTACTATTTCCTAGAATCTTCTCAACAGCCCATTGACGTAGGAACCATCAGGCTCAGATAAGAGAAAGGCACTGGCTTCTAGTCACAGTCAAGACAGAAGTAAGGATTTGGCTCTGCCTCTGTCTGACTCCAAACACTGCCCTCTGCATTGAGGAAGGAATTGAGACATAATTGTGCTCCCTCTCACACACACAGATTTAGAAAAAGATTGAGAAGTGCAAACTAGGCCCTCATCCTTGACCATGGTCTTCAGTCTTCCCTGCTATAGACATTATCCACTGCCCCGCCATATGGTTATCACTGAGAAAGCCCAGGGATATAGGTTTGCCTTCTTGCTTTGATAATTCTTGGTTTAAAAAAAAATAGAATAACAATTAACACATCTTCAGTCATCCATGTCACAAAAGAATTTTCCTTTGTTGGGGGCCTGGAGATGCAACCCTTTGGGGAGTGTCCTCGTTTATGCTCCCTGCCTTGGCCCCCTCAGCCCCTTGCCCTGCCCCCACCCCAGCTCCATGGTGGGAGGGGACTATGGTATTTTCTAAAGTGGGTGGTTTGTCTTTTGGTCTTTCCCTTTGGGGTTTGTGTGGGCCACATGTGTGGCATGTGTGTGTGTGTGTGTGTGAACAGCTTTGGGTTCCACTGGTTTTGCTGTGAGCTACAGTGTTCTGTGGGTCTGTGGTATCTGACACTGTGGACATTAATGTACTTCTTGGACATTTTAATAAAAATTTTTAACAGTTCAACATGCCTGTTGCCTCCTGACACTTTCTTCATTCATTCACTCAGCAGGTACTTACTGAGAAGCTGTTATGAGCTGTGTACTGTGCTTGGTGCTGGGGAGATAGTGGTGAATAAGACAGACATGGTACTTGGGAGGTGGTCAGGGAAGGCTTCCTAGAGGAGGCAGATGGCATCTAAAGAAGTTGGATCAATTAGATGATGAGGGGAAGAAGGGAAAGGAGTTTCAGGCAGAGGGAACAACAAAGGCAAAAATCCTCTTGCAAAAGGGAACATGGTCATTTGAGAAACAGCAAGGAGACCATAGTGACAGAGGTGGAGAGTGGAGGGAGATGAGGACAGAGAGGCAAAAGATGGACTATTCAGGCTATATGGACTGTAGTGAGGAGTTGGGGCTTTATTCTAAAAGCTGTATGGCAACAAATATCATAAGCAAGGTCAAAAAGCAAATGCCAAACTTAGAGACAGTTTTCAAACAGAGGTAAAGGACTTCTTACCTTAATATATAAAGAGCTCCCACAAATCAATAGAAAAAAGAAAACCTAATAATCCAATAGCTGAATGTGCAACGGTTATGAACAAAACATTCACAGAAAAGGAAATACAGATAGCTCTTAAGCTACAATATGTCCTAAACAAAATAGCACACTTTTTGCATGAACACCAAGATAACAAAGAAGAGCATTTAAAAAAAAAAAAAGGGAACAAAAATCTACCAAGAGAAGAAGCTTTGCATAGATCAATAATGACCATATACTTAAGTTGACAATGGTTTATGATTCACTCAACCATCTGCACCGAAGGTCAAAGTGGAGGATGTTCCGCTTCACACATAAGAGAATCGCAAGTGACAACCACCGTGCGATTCCATTTTCACTTATCATGTTGGCTAAGGTAAACAGTGATAACATGATGCTGGTGAGAATGTGTGGAAACAGCAAGTATGCCTGATGGAATATAAGTTGGCCTTACCTCTAAGAAGGGGTGGAGGTCACTATCAAAATGGCAAATTTTGATCCCTTGATCGATCAACTGATAGCATCCTCCTGTTGTACTTGTGTGAGATGACGTGGGTGCTTATGACTAACAGCAAAATATGGGAAACTAAGTGCCCACCGTTAGGAGACTGGCTACAAAAAGTATGGTGCATCCGAACAACCCAAACTCTGCCGACCTTCAAAAAATGTTTTGGGGGAATCTTTCCATGTTGATGGAAACTATCTCAAAAATACATTATTAAGTAAAATAAGAGTTACTTTTAAACTATGTATGGTACACAAATGTTCATAATAGTGTTATCCACGGTCATCAAAATGTCCACCAACTGATAAATGAATTTTTTTTTTAATATATTTTATTGATTTTTCACAGAGAGGAAGGAAGAGAGATAGAGAGTTAGAAACATCGATGAGAGAGAAACATCGATCAGCTGCCTCCTGCACCACCCCCACTGGGGATGTGCCCGCAACCCAGGTACATGCCCTTGACCGGAATCTAACCTGGGACCTTTCAATCCGCAGGCCGACGCTCCATTCACTGAGCCAAACCGGTTTCGGCATGATAAATGAATTTTAAAAATGTGGTATACACATACCATGGAATATTATGCAGCCATAGAATGAATGAAGCACTGACACAAGCTACAACTAGCTGAACCTCAGAGACATCATGCTGAGTGAAAGAAGCCAGACACAAAAGGACGTATATTGTACGATTCCGTTTATATGAAATATCAAGAATAGGCAAACCCATAGATGCAGAAGGTAGATTAGCATTTGCCGGGGCAGTGGGGGGAGGAAAGAATGGGGAGCAGTTGCTTAAAGGGGGGTTTCTTTTGGGGTGAGGAAAATGTCTTGGAACTAGATGGTTGTACAACATTATAAATATGCAAAATGCCATTGAATGGAGCGCTTTAAGACATTTACAATGGTGAATTTTATGTTATATAAATTTTACCATATAAGAAAGTATATGCTGCCACCAATTGTGTAAAAGTGGGGAAAAGAAACATATATGTATGTTTGCTTGACTGAACATAAAACATCTCTGGAGGGACAGGTAAGAAACTTTGGGAAGTAAACTGGGCAGTAGAGGATGGGGGGGGGGAGGAGAGAGAGAGAGAGAGAGAGAGAGAGAGAGAGAGAGAGAGAGAGAGAGGTTTTTCTGAATACCTGGCTTCTGGGAGGGTTCCATCCAAGTTGCCATCCCTTAGCTGTCCTCCCAATGGACCCTGGAGACATCCACTCCAACAGCAGTGACCCCAGCAGAAGGGAGGTTCCCTCCGCCCAATCATCCAGCAAAAATCCTAGGGACTACTTCTCATTGGTCTGCATGGGCCCGCATCCATCCCTGGACCAATCAGGGCTGCCCAGGGAGATGGGCCACATCACTCACTGGCCTGAGCTGCAAGGTGGTGGAGTCAGCTCCTCCATATCTTATGAGTGGAGGTGGTTACATACTCACTGGAAACCAAGGAGCTGGAACAGTGGAAGGGAGAAAGTATGCCAGCAGAAAGTATGCCAGCAGGAAAAGGCGGGATGAAAGAAATCCCATGCAGGAATCTCTGTATACATGCTCCTCACCCCAGTCCCCTGTTTGAGGATGCTAAGGTCCAAGGTAATCTAACCAAGGAGCTGGACCCTGCATCAGAGGAACAGTTTGCGTATGGAAGTTTGCTCAAGTCTGGTATAAAAGGATGAACAGTTATATCGACCATCTCACTTCTACAACCAAATCACATTTTTTTCTCTCCTCCTTTTGTTTAGAAACTTCCAGTGCTCCTCAGCCCATACTCTCCCCATCCAACCCAGGAAAACTGCAACCTCTCTGCCTTCCTGAAGCAGGCAGTCCCCATCCAGCTTCACACACTGGATATTGAGAGGAACCACTGGGTTTGTCAGTGACCCAATCAGGACAGGACTGAGAAGTGCCAGACCTACAGGGGGCGGGGGGGGGGGGGAGGGGGGGGAAATGGGTGAAAGAAGAGGAGATTGAGGAGTGGGATGTGGTCCTGAGGAATGAGGACCTTCTGACTGAATTATCACCAAGGACCTCCCGCTGGGAAACATTTTGAAGTAATTATTCACTAGCTGCCTCTTTTTCTCATTATATACATCCCCTTCTGTATGCTTTGCACTCACTGGGACCTCAGAGCAGCCCTGATACAGAGATGGAAATAGGCTCAGGGGTTTTGTCACTTGGTCACAGGTAGGATTAGAACCCAAGCCAACCTGGTTCCCAACCCACAGATGGGTTTCCTCAAGATGGATGGGACAGTAAAGGGGGCTCCAGGAGGTCCCCAGTGCTACTCCAGGCAAGACCATGGCATTGGGATTTCCCACGGCTGGATGGCTCTCTACACTGGGGAGTTTGGCTGGGTTCTGACTTCTTTAAGAATCTCCTCTTAAGCCCTGGCCAGGTAGTTCAGTGGGTTACAGCACTGATACACCAAGGTTGCAGGTTTGATCCCCGGTCAGGGCACAAACAAGAATCAATCAATGAATGCACAAATAAGTGGAATAAATCAATGTCTCTCTCTCTCTCTCTCTCTCTCTCTCTCTCTCTCTCTCTCTCTCTCAAATCAATAAATTAAAAAAAATAATCTCCCCTTAAAACCTGGAGCTCAGAGTGGATTTCTGGGGTTTAAGAACCTATCTCTCCTGGATCTCCTAGGAGGAAAATAGGGGTTGGGGGGTTAGGGAAGGGAAGAAGAGCTCAGTGAGAATGGGGATGGGGTCTGAGAGAGGAAAAGGGGAGCTCAGTGCTTGCACAGCTCAAAGGGCCAAGGCATGCCAGTGCCTCGGGTTGCTCATCTGTACAGAGGCAATGAAAACACCTGGGCATCCCAAGGGTATGTCGTGCACAGCTGCTGTCTGGGATATAGTTAGCGTGCAATTGGAGGGTTTCAGCAGCCCTGTAAGTCCAGCCCTGTCTCAGGATGCTGCCTGGGGCTGAGCCCACCTGGTGAAGGGGCAGCCATTAAGCCCTATAGGGTACAGTTCCTGCCCATGGTAAGTTCCTGAGAGCTGGGGGGTTAGTTGTCATGGGAATGACATTAACAGTCTCTATGGTAACAACTTGGTGGGCAGGGCCCTACCAACAAGGAAAAGCCTAGGGAGACAGGTGTTCTGTTACCTCAGACTCCAGTTTGGTCTCCATGGCAACAGTTGTTTAACTTGGAGGGTGGCAAGGAGCTGGGGTGGGCCTGGGGAAAGGGCAGCACGTTTCCATGGTGAAAGCTGGAGAACTGAATGTTGGTTAACTCTCTGGACAGTGGGGGGAAGGTGGTCTCCATGGCTGTTGGTCAGGGTGGGGACAATTAAAGTGGAGTTGTAGGTCTCCAGGATGGGGGCTGGTGAGATGGGGAAAGTATGGTATCCATGGTTACAGCTAAAGGACGGAGGCACTATCTCCATGGGTGTGACTGACGAGGGAAGGGTTGTGTGACTGGCAAGAAGAAGGGCTGGTCACCTTAGAGACAATGGGAAGTGGTGTGGCTTGCCTCCACAGCGTGGATCTTATAGGCCCCCGTGTCCTGGGAATGATTGCTTTGGTGACAGCCAGGAGAAAGGAGGCCAGGTGGGGGTGGACTTGCCCTTCCAGAGAGATACCTGAGGGTGGGGCAGCCAGTCATGCGAGCCAGCTGGGGCATTTCAATCTATCTTAGCAGTAACAAAAGGCGGTCTCTCCTAAAACTGGAGAGATGAGGCAGCGGGGTCCCGTGCGCCTCTGGTCCACGGTGACCTGGGGACTTGGTCTCTTACTACAGAAATTTCAGGGGAGTTGAGGGGGAGGTGTCAATGATAGGAGTACCCAATCAACACGTCACCGTAGGGGAGAAGACAGGAGCCCACATGTGACTATGGGGGCGTGGTCACCTGTCAAATTTGCTGTTTCTAGTTTCTCTACAGGTGATAGGAGGATGGTTCAGTTGCCAGGTGACCATTAAGTCTTCAGTCTCCAGGGAGATGCAGAGGGCGTGGGTCCAGCCTCCAGGTGACCACTGAGATGGTTCTGTGTCCAGGTGGCCTTGGGAGGGGTAGTCTTCAGGAGACCGTGGGGTCTGTTGGCCTCCAGGGGGCATCAGGGAGTGTGCTTGGTCTGCTGGAGAAAGTCAGGGGAAGGGGAGAAATCCACTGTGCAAGAAAGGGGAGCTTGGTCAGTGTCCAGGGACTCCAGGAGACTTGTCTCTGGGGGTGTGGTCAGTGTTCAAGGACCACAGTAGCTTGGTCAGCCAGTAGGGCACCACAGGGGGCGTGGTCCGTGTCCAGGGGACAACAGAGGACTCGGCCAGCCCCCAAGGACCCCTCCCCCAGCTCTCCGTGCCCTCCGAGCCTAGACGCGCAGCGGGGTCCAGGCAGCGGGGTCGCGTGCGCCCCCGGCCCAGCCGCCGCCTCCCGCCCAGCCCCAGCCCCAGCCTCCAGGTGCTGGGTCGGGCGCGCCAGGCGCGCGGTAGCAGTAGACGCCGAAGAGGCTGCGCCCGGGATCGGGGAAACCGAGGTTGCGCACGCCAGGCCGGAGGCCACCGCAGCGCGCGCGCGGGTTCACGATGGGGTAGCGCGCGCTCCCGTCGGCCAGCCAGCCTGCGGTGCAGCGGTCCAGCAGTTGCAGCTTCCACGCGGCGAACAGCTGCCCCACTTTAGCCACCGCCGCTCCGCGCGCCGCGCACGCGCGCGCTGCTCCAGAGAAGGCCAAGGGCCGCAGCGGCTTCAGGAAGAAGACCCGACCTGCGGAGGAGGGGGAGTGGTTTGGACCGTTCGGGGACCTGGCCTCTTTGGGATTCAGGACTCCCCACCACCACCGCCTGCAACCCAGGACCCCAGACTCAAGATTAAAGAGCATCCCCTCGCCCCAGCTGGTTTGGCTCAGTGGATAGAGCGTCGGCCTGTGGACTGGCGCGTCCCGGGTTCAATTCCAGTCAGGGGCGCATGCCCGGGTTGCCGGCTCGATCCCCAGTGGGAGGCGTGCAGGAGGCAGCCGATCAATGATTCTCTCATCATTGATGTTTCTATCTCTCTCTCCCTCTCCCTTTCTCTCTGAAATCAATAAAAACATTAAAAAAAAAGAGAGAGAGAGAGAGAGAGCTTCCCCTTCCGTGCGGCCCGGGACCCCTGCCTCGGCCTGAGCAGCGTTTGCGCGACGTGGCGGTCCGGGGGGAAAGGATGTCCTGGTCTGGCTCCCAGAGGGCAAGGGCGGGGGAGAAGAAACTGGGGGTGGGGTGGGGTGGGAAAGGGAGACGAGGTGGGGGTGGGGTGGGGGGAGTCCCGGAAGAGGCCTGCCGCGGGAGGGGAGAGCGCGTCTTCCAAGGGGTGGGGCATACGCACCGGGGAGGTTGGACGTGAAGCAGAAGGCGTCGTAGCGTTCCTCAGCGTTGTGGCGGTAGCCGTAGTTGCGCACGCCCCCGGAGGCACCTCCGCCAACCCCGGTGCCCCCGGCCCCGCGCAGGCCGCCGCAGGGCTCCCGGGGCTGGCTCACCGGGTACTGAACCGAGCCATCGCGCAGCCAGCCCGCGTTGCACCAGTCCAAGCCGTCGCGCCAGGCCGCGTGCAGCTGCTCGGCCGACGCCAGGATACCATCCTGTTCAGCGCAGGCGCGCTGCGCCTCAGTGAAAGTCAGCTTGTAGCGGCCTCCACGGGGGTGATAAGGGAAGACCACGCCTGGGAAAACACAGGGGAGTCAGCTAAGGCCCTCCCAACCATCCCCCACCCACCTGACACTGGGGGGCCCTGTGTCTCTTCAACCTAGATCTTCCAGTCCATCCCTCACTCTGGTCTCAGATCTGACCATGCTTTTTTCCAGCTCACACTCCTCCTGGCTCCCTTTGCCTTAAACTTGATTCACTTGACCCTCCTCCTTAACATACTTAATCGCGTCTACCCCCTTTCCACCGTTGGAGACATTTGCTCATGTTCTTTCCACCTGTTGAACTCCTATTCATCCTTCAAAACCCAGCACCCACAACCCTCCTCCATAAGGTCTTAGGTGCTTCTGACATTCTTCCAGCACTGGGACCTTCCCTCTGATCAAGCCCTGAGTCCACAAAGCTGGGAATGTCTATGTCCAGTGCTGGCTCCCCTACACTGGGAGCCCCTGAAAGGTTGACCCTGGGCAAAAACTCCCTTTGATTCACAGCACTGTCCAGGGCAGTCAGTACCCCTTCGTTTTCCTTGCACCATCAGTCGTTATAACTTGTCAGACTTGCAGTCAACTCAGCTCACAAGTGTTCTGTCTGTGTGTGTTTGAAGGGCGGACCTTGGGGGTTTATTGGGTACTTTCAGCAGGTGCAAGGAGGTGGCAAACAGGGACCAACCAGGGAGAAGACCGGAGCCTGGCAGACTGGGGTTTAAGTCCTGGCTCTTCTGCTCACTATCATTTGCCCTTGGCACACGTCTAACCTCTCCAAGGTAGTTGAACCATCCTCAGGGGTTTTGGGAAAATTAAATGAGAAACTCCAGAGAGCTCTTCAGCCAAGTGCCTGGCACATAGACAATGCCCAATAAAGGAGAATTGCTGCTATTGTTGTGTTATTTACTATTAAAAGAAGTTGGCAAGTGAAGGCCCCAAAATCTTTCCAAGGATCTTCTACTAGTAAATGACTGAAGAAGACAAACCAGGTGGAAGGGAATTTTTTCAGATAGAAATGCCACCTCAAAGTTTCACTGTCAGCCAATCAGAGCATCCCCATCTTCTGGCCACGGCTAGGCACATGACTCAGAAGCTGAGGCCAATGAGGGACAAGTCTGAGACTTCTAAGAAATCAGTTGCTAAGCTGGGAGGGTGGAAGCCTGGCACGAATTTTTAGTTTCGTTGGGGAAAACTTGCAAGAGGAAAGCCCACCCAGGGAGTCAGAGCTGAGGGAGGGACTCCTGACATGGTACCAGTGCCTGGATCTTACTGTGCCTGAATCCTACACCAGGGTTTCCCAACATCCTCACTATTGGCATTTTGGTCTGGGTCATTCTTTGCCCTGGGGGACTGTCCTGTGCTTTGTGGTATATATCACAGTATCTCTGGCCTCTACCCACCAGATGCCACCAGCAACCCCCTTTTAGATGTTAGTGTCCCTGGGTAGCAATGACCACCGTGAATCAAACTACCCCACCAAGCCTCTAAATTCCTTCAGGCCAAGGATTTGGTTTCTCTTCCTTGCAATTCCCTCCCCTCTCCTCCCTGAGAAATGCCTCTCATCCTGCCCACAGGCTGGTCACCTTCCAGGTCCAGCTTGACCATGCCAGTGTCATCCTCTAGTTCGTTGGTGACCTCGCACTCATAGTGCCCATAGTCTTGCAGCGTGACATTTCGGAGAACCAAGGAGGCGTCCCCAGGACCATCACCCTGCAGCTCCGCCCGCCCTCGGTAGCTGCCAAACGCCCGGTGCTGGGGGCCCAGCGCCACGAAGACATCGGTAAAGGCCAGCGGCTCCACCACTTTAGTCCACTTGAGACGGACACCTTCGTGGCTGTGGACGGTTGCCTCGTAGTGGTAACGGCAGGGCAAGACGATGGTGCCACCCCGGTGGCTGACTACCTGCCCGGGCGCTGTCTGCACCACCACCGAGCCCGACTCGCCCTCTGTGGATGACCAAGGAGGGTTCAGATGAAGTCCTAGGGGTGGGGTAGGGAACCTGGGGAGGGCATCCTGGAGGGGGATGTGGTTATTAAACTTGGGTGTGGGTAACTCAGATGGGTAGAGAGGCTCAGGGAGGGAACTGGGAGGGGGAGGAGCTTGGTGGGGGAGGACGGTGGCCTTCGGGACCGCCCACTGCCCTCCCCTTTCCTCCTCCATGCACCCTGGCGATCACACCTGGCCACTGCTCTCTGACTTACCCAGCACGTGCACGACCTTCTTCCTGCCGCGCTGCGCGCCTGCGGGGGCCACGAGCAACAAGACTCCCCAGAGCGCGCAGGGACCGAGGGCCGCCCGAGCCCACACCTGGGGATATCGGACACTCAGTCCAACCTCCTGGCTTTTGCCTTTAGGAGGACTAGCCCTCGCTTCTCACGGGCCCAGGCCTCCTCCTCGTCTAGGGTCCCAGAGGAGTCCCCCAGGAAGGCTGGCAAAGCCCTCCCTCCCCATTCCCTCTCCTGGGACGTCACACCCTCCCTCTCGCACAAAGCCCACCCGCCTGAGCGCACCCTCTCTTAGTCCCGCCCGATCCCCTAACCTCAACTCCGGGGGCCCGAGCCCCGCCCCCTTCGCTCCGACCTGGGCGGAGGAGGCGAGAGGAGGGAGGAGCCGAGCAGCGGCAGCGGCAAGGTTATTCGTGCGCCAGGAGACTGCAGCAAACCCGGCCGGCCGGTGGGGGTTAGGGATGCGGGGGAGTCGTGGAGAAGAGGAGAGAAAGAGAGAGGGAGGAGGAGAGGGAGAGAGAGAGCGAGAAAAGGGAAAGAGACACAGGGAGAAAAGCAGGGAGAGATGAAGGCAGAGGAGAGAGAGCAAAAGGGACAAAGAAGAGGAAGAAAAGTCAGAAACATGCAGAGGGAGAGACAGAGGCTGAAAAAGATGAGAGGAGAGCGAGCAAGAGGGAGAGGAACACAGACAAGAGGGAGCCATTAGGAGAGCGAGAGACAGAGAGACTCCGAGAGGGAGAGAAAAGTAGGGAGAGACGGAGAGGGATAGAGACGGAGACGCAGAGAGTTCGAGAAGCAGGTTAAGAGACCGAGGGGATGGGAGAAACGGAGCGGGAGAGACTGGAGAGAGAAACACGGAGGGACGTAGACACGGAGCTAGAATCCCAGAGAGGGACCTACGGGGACCCGCGCCGCGGCCCCACTCACCATGCTGCCCGTAGGCCCCCGCCGAGCGGACCCTACGCGCCAGGACTGCGCTCCGGGCACATAGAGGAAGGACTAGGCAGGTCTCAGGGGCAGCGCAATCCCGGTGACTGCCTGCAAGGGGAGGAGGGAGGCGGACAAGGTGGCGGGGTTTGGGGGGGTTGTTAAAGGGAAAGCGGAGGCGCGCGCTCCGCTGAAAGGAAGCCCGGGCGCGGGTGTGGGCAGGAGCACTGGAGAGTGAGTTCCCTGCTCTTGCTGGCCGACTGGGCCTGCGGAGGAACCTCTCTGGGGCTCAGGTTAAGCATCTTTAAAACCCAGGCGAGGGGCCTGGTGGAGTCTTCGTCCTCAGATACCCTGCAGGGGCAGGGAGCTGAGGAGCCTGGGAAAGGAGCTTGGTCTGCAGGTCTGTTTTCCCCTTTGTCACTGAGTGGCCATCTCGTTGTCCTGGCCTCTGGCACTGAAAAGGTGCTCACTGGGTGATGGGTCCCGCGACAATGACCCGCTCATGCAGCAACAGATCTAAACCCAACTCTGCCCCTCACCCACTGTGGGGCCTTGGAAGAGAGCGTGGCCTCTCTGAGCCCGTTTCCACCTCTGGGAAATGAAGTACCGATTCTTTGGTGACGATCCAATGGCTAAACACACAATAGATGCTTAATAAGTGTCGGTAGGTTGAAGAGGGTCTGATCACGCCCCTGACCGCACTCTGGGCCTATCACCCCTGAACCTGGTCTTTCATCCAGGTTCAGTAATCAAACCTGGAAACAATGAGCTCCTCCCCCACGCCCCTGACTGCCTCCCCAGGCTGTTTCCCCAAAATATGAGTCAACTCGACAGCAAAGGCAGGACTACGGGCTTTGTGGTTGAAGTGGCCAGGGCTTGGTCCCTAGCTCAGCTGCACCCAGGAGGTGTGCCCGCAGACCAGGACCCTCATCGCCTGCAGGCTCAGTTTCCCCATCTGGAATATGGGGTGAGATCCTATATTATAGCATGTGAGGTTAGCCCTTGGCATGGTAAACAGTAGGTGCGTAATAACGATGCCACAGTATTCATTATAATTTATTAGCAGAAATAGGACTTCGGACTCTTGTCCTGATTGTGACTCCAGGCAGGTTCGGATCCTCTCTAAGTCTGTTTTCCTCATCTGGAAAGTGGAGCTGCGCACACCAACCAGAGACAGGCTTCTGCTGTCTGGCACCTTCTGTCCCTGACAGTCACACTGGCAGTGATGGTGGGCCTTTGTGGGGTCTGAAAAGACAGTCCCTCACCCCTGCCCCCTGAAACACTCAGGCAGCAACATTTTTAGGCATCAAAAGGGCTTTTAGCAAAAGGATCCCTGGGGGTAATGGATAAACTTGGCAAGGGAGTAGAAGAACCCACAGAGGCTGGGGAGCAGTGACAGCTGAGTGTGGCTGTGGCCCTCTCTGCCTGAACACCTGGCCCTTGGGTTTCCCATCCCACCAGCTGGCCTTGAAACCATCATAGCCAGAAACAAAGACACCATGGATGTACCTCCTGCCTCCAAAAAACCCAACCCATCCTTCTGGGGCAGGGCCCGCTGGGTGTCTTAAAGGAGTCCTGGGGAGTCCCACAGGCCCCTTCAGTGCTGCTTCTCGTGGAGGACTTGGGAGCTGGGTGGCAGGCGCTGGAAGAAGGCTGGCCTCAGCAGGCAGCGGTAGGCCAGCAGGTGAGGGCCCAGTGCATACAGCATGTTGCACACGAAGAAGCAGGCCCAGGCATCCTCCGGCACCCGGTAGGTGAAGGGTGTGCGCAGGTGCATGGAGGCACCCATGTGTGAGAACTGCGCCTGATGGCCACACAGGGAGGATAGATGTCAGGGGCTGGGAAAGAACCAGTCCCAGCATCAACAACATTCCACCCTGGGGAGCCCAGGGGTCCCTGTCCCCATCTTGCGGCTCTGCTGACCTGCCTGTCTCCTCTTTCCAGTCCATCTGTTTGTCTCTAAATATCTCTGTCCCTACGGTCCTGTCTGTCCTGTCCATCAGTCTGTGAGCTTCTCCCCAGCTGCCTAACCAGAACCATGTCCACTGTGTCTGCTGGACCCTACACCCTCTCTCTCTGTCCAGCTCTTCCTCAACCCAGACAGCTGCCCTTGACACAAATTCTGTTGATTATACCATCGATGTCCTCCTGGTTCCCACTGCTCTGACCTGGGCCCAGCCTTTATCATACTCCATCAGGAACCCAGAAGTAGACCCCTAGCTCTGACGGTCCTCCTCTGCTCAAATACCTCCCACTGTTCTCCATCTTTCTACACGGAAGCCCCCAAGGTCAGAGTTCAAAGCCCTCAGCATCTAGCTGCCAATTTCTCTAGCCCCTGCTTTTACCATTGTTATGGCTCTGCTAAATCACCGTGCCCCTCTGTCCCTTTCCTTATGCTGTTCCCATTCCTGGAATGTCCTTCCCTGCCTGGAGCTCTCATACCCATATGTCTAAGCCCAGTTCCTACGCCCCCTCTTTTAAGTAATCTGTCCCCTCTGTAATCCCTCTCAGCCTCTCCCTCTCCCTCTCTTCAGTTCTGACCCCATGGGGTTGGGGATGGTCTGTGTCTGGCTCTTTCTCCCCCAGACTAAGGAATCCTGGGGTGCTGAGCTGGGGCTGGGGCCTCTCAGGGGCCCAGCATCACCCTGACCAGGGAGAGCACAAAAGAAATTGATGGGTAGGCAGAAACTTTCTTTCTTACGCACCTGACCCCCAACACCCCAGCCCCGCCTCACCTGGCCAATGGCTCCAGCAAACACCAAGGCCCAATCAGGTAGCCAGGAACAGCCAGGGAAGATAAGGGCATAGGCAGCCAGGCCATAGAAGGGCAATGCATAGAACATATACACCAGCATCTGTGATGAGCAGATATGATGAGCAGATGCCCCTGATGGGTTTCCTGAGACCCCTCAGGTGGGAACCCCAGGGAGGCTCTGGCCAGCCTCAGACCCCACCCAGGATGGAAGCTCTCTGCACATCCTACCCTGTGCAACCTGCACCTTTATTTCCTTTGGGGGTCCCCACCCTTCCCACTGCCCCCCACCTCACTTCTGTCCACAATGATCAGCTACAAGATGGGGATGTGATTCAAACTTAGCCAATCAGAGCCTGCCTGAGCCTTGTGCTTAAGCTCTGGGGAGATAAAGGCTCACATTCCTCTGGGGTAGCTAAGTAGGTCAGAAGGAAGCCTGGCGCTGCCCAAGGCTCTCTCTGCCATTCCACAAAGGGACCACCTGGGAGGGGAGCCCATGCAAAGAAAACAGAGCCCAGAGCCAGAGCTCTCCTTGAGCTCCTGGATCCAGCCATACCTGAGACTGTACCTATACTTTGTTTATAGGACAATAATTCCATTTGAGCTTCTGCCAGTTGGACTTGTGTTTTAGGCACCTGCTTCAAAGAAGCCCAGTGGACCCCTACACATGGTCCTTTCCTCCCACCTGCCCTCTCACCTGCACCTTTGGGTAGGCCACAGGGTCCCGTAGGTATGGTTCGTACTGATAAATATAGACAAAGCAGGCATCTGTGGGGCAGTCAAGCACCACCTGTGGCCAACAGACAAACCAACAACCCACCTCAAATATCCCTCCCACCAAAAGCTTTCCCCATCCTCCCAGGCAGGGCTCACACCCCTCGCTCTACCCCCCCACCCCCAGCCTTGGTTCTATCCTCTGGCCGAGAAGCCACAGATCTCAAAGCTGGGGAGAAGGCTACAGGGAATGGGGCTTAGTGGTGAAACACTCAGGTCAGACTCAATGATGAACTTCCCTGATGATCAGATGGGAGAGCAGTGGCCCTTTTGCAGGGAGTAAACATATGTGGAAAGGGAAGGCCAGGGACGGAGGCTGAAGGCAGGAGAGGGGTAGACCAGCCAGACTCACAAGGCCCCGGAAGAGGGTGAAGAACCCAGCAAGGATGAGGTAAATGACGAGAGCCAGGTCAGCCGGGCGCTGCAGGAGACCCTTTCTTTGTTCTTCCTGCACCTGCCCCATGAGAGAGAGACGGTGAGAAGTCAGCAATCCAACAGGCACTGCATAAAGGCTCATCCCTTCTTTTCTAATGACCAAGGAGATCCTTCCAAGGAGATAATGTTTTTGACCAGAAACAACTCAAATGGGGAGACTGAGGTAAGTGGGCACAGGCATGCCTGGAGGCACGGTACTTACCATGTTGGGGGTGCAGCAGGTTGGTGGCTGGGCCTGGTTGAAGACCCTCACACCAGCCCAGAATGGGACCAGCACATATGGGATGGTGAGGAAGAAGGCTGGCCTGATCTCTGAGCTGTATTTCCCTAACATGGTAGGAGAGATGAGGAATACTCAGTAAGGATCTCCTAGGCCTATAGATAGATGATAGATAGATAGATAGATAGATAGATAGATAGATAGATAGATTTCAGAGAGGAAGGGAGAGGGAGAGAGATAGAAACATCAATGATGAGAGAGAATCATTGATTGGCTGCCTCCTGCACACCCCCTACTGGGGATTGAGCCTGCAACCCAGGCATGTGCCCTTGACTGGAATCGAACCCAGGACCCTTCAGTCTGCAGGCCGACACTCTATCCACTGAGCCAAATCAGCTAGGGCCCGGCTGGGCCCTTTAAGTGGGCCACACCAGAGCCCCTGGATGGAAGTCATAATTCACAATTGCCATACTTGCTCAGCTTTTTCTTTTTTCTTTTTCTACTTGCTCAAGATTTAACACATGTGGTTCTTCAATGCCCGCAAGATGATGTCCATGCTCCTCAGACTGGCCTACCTCAATTTACCTTCTGGACACAGCTCTTACACTTTAGCTGTTCTTGGCTCCCCCTGGAAACACCCCTCCAAGAAGAAATGGGAGAGACAGGCAGGTTGCTGGCTTAGACCATGCATGAACAGGCATGTGGGGCCCTCTTCAGACCTTGGGGAGAGTATGGAGGACCCCATGGTGGCTTCTAGGTGCAGGGCAGTGACCCAGCTCAGGGAAGTAGGATTCCTCAAAGCCAAGTACTTACCAAGGATGTTTCCCGGAAGAAACACCAGGATGCTCATGACGAAGGACCCGAGCCAGTACAGTCCAAGGTTCCGGTACCTCTTCCTGGGTGGGGAACGAAGGGATGACCAGTAGATAGATATCCATCCCCAGTCTCAGAGCACGAGCCAGGGCCCAGGGTGCACCCTGGGCTCCCCAGCTTTGGTCCTTCCAATTTTGCTCAGGATGAAAGGGACAACAGGAAGTTGAATGAGAGAATGAACAGTAAGACCTTCTGTCAAGGACAGAAGTGGCTGCCCAGGCGCACAGTAGTAAGAGAAGAGAGCCAACCACCAGTCACCTGTGACATTCCCCAGAACCTTCTCCCAGTCACACCTGGCTGGAGCCCTAAAGAGGCCTCCTGATTTTCTCTACTTCTGGCTCCACCCCAGTCTGAGACCCCACCTGAGGACTTGACCTGCTTTCCAGGGCCCAGGTGCACTCCACCCACCCCTCGCACCTTCTGCGGATGGCACCAGCCATGGCCAGGTAAAGGAGGTAGTGAACAATGCCATTCCAGTAGCAGATGAAGACTCCGTGTGCAGTGCGTAGGTATGGCTCACCCTGCGGAAGCAGGTGCAGGGATCAGACACACAGGCAGGCAGGGGGCATCCTAGACCAACCCCTACGTACCTCCTTGGTGTAGAACTCCACGAAGCCCACCATGTAGCCATCTTCCTGGAGAGCGATAAGGAGGTCCACCACCGAGGTGAAGGCAAATACTGCAAACACTGCAGGGAGAGTGTTCAGGGAAGACCTGGGAATGGGTGGGGCTGCAGCGGGGACCCAGATCCAACCTATGACTCGGTGCCCAACTGCTCCCAGTTCCCACTCCACAGGTCACATGAAATACCACCCTCCTTCAAGGGAGGCACAGTCCCTGCCTTTGCCTTCAGGAGACTCCAGAGTAATGGGAAGACAGTTCCCACTCTCAGGAGCCCCAAGTCTGAGGTTCCATTGTCAACAGTTTTCCAGCCTGAAGATCTCCGGCCCAATGGGAGCCCTTCAAGGGCCCCCACCCTGATGAAGGAGGCCCTTCAAGGCCCCCCAGTGTGATGGAGAAGCCATTGCTCACACAGTTCTCTTCCCTAGGACCTTCCCACTAACTCACCAGCGTAGTGTGGGTCGTAGTAGATCTCCCCGCGGGACAAGCTATAGATAGCCACAAAGAGCTGACCGAGGATCAGGGCACTCAGCAAGGCCACCCCAAGGGGACTGTGAAGAGGAAAACGAAGTCAGAGAGGCCAGAGCCAGGGTTGAAACCCAACCCCCTCCTGGTGAGGGCGAGAGCAGACTCCAGGAGGCTCCAGCTGATGAGGCTGAAGCATGTGTCTGTCCATTCAGAACTGCCTTTCCTTAAACTGCCCTCTCCCATCACCAGGCTCTTTCCCCAGCTGCTTCCATCTCCTGGAAACTCCTTCCAGAAGTTTCTTTTCCACTTGGCAAATTTCTACCCATCCTTCGTGGTCCATCTACATTGTTCCTCTTCCAGGAAGCCTTCTCCAACTCCTCAGAAAAGATTATCAAAGTTGGGCCAGGTACAGAGGGGGCACCTGTCAACCCTTTCTGATTATATGATTTATCCCATCACTTGCTGATATGTTTGACTCAATTGCTCAGTCAGTCATTCAACAACACTGAGCTCTGTGGCTAGACCCAGCGCCCACGCCTGACAGATGGTCTCTAGTGCTCTCACTGTGTGAAGCTCCTGACTCCTCCCGGCTAAAGTCCACCCCACCTCTACCCTGATCTGTTCCCATTGACCTGATAAAACAGGTCAACCAGGTGCACAGACAATAGAAGCCAGGTCTCTGGGCAGCCCCCCAAAACCTGGCAAGGCCTAGAGAGGATGGATCTATCCAAGGTCACACATTCTCCCCTCCTCCCCCACTCTCTCCTTGATTCTACCTTCTCTGGAACTCCTCTAACAGCTAGGATCCCCATTCCTGCCGCATCTGACTAACAATGACAATTGGAGTAATCAGATGGGACCACACCAGTGTCTTTGAACACAATTCATAATCCTTAACTCTATGGGATGAGATCTAGGATTATGTTCATTACACAGTGAAGAAACAGGCTTTTAGAGGCAACCTGGAACACTTCAGGTCCAGGGGGTAGAGCCAGCAATTTGTACCCAAGGAGCTAACCTCCTAGTCAAGACTCCCTCTACTCCATTCTTGGGTGGAGCTGGGTTTAGGAGTGTGAGGGGCTTTGCTGATGCCTGGTACCCAGCGGCTGGATCCACAGGACCAGAGTCTAAGGTTAGGAGACAGGCACAGGGAAGTCTGAGGCATGTATGGGGAAACTGAGGCTAGAGGCGGGGTAGGCCAGCCCGGAACAAAAGAAAGTCCCAGGCCTTAAACAGGAGGGGCAACCTGCTAGGGGTGGTGCAGCAGAGCCTGTGTGGCAAGAGCCAGGCCACCAGGGCCTTATCTGGGGCAATACTTTGACCCTTGGCGACTTTGGAACCTATGCTGGGCATATCCCTGGGAAAACCAGGGAAATTGTTTCCAAAACCCTGCCCTGTGTGTGTGTGTGGGGGGGGGGGGGGGGGCAGCATTGGCTCTGTTTCTGAAGGTTCCTTTTCCCCGGGCCCCAAACGTCCCAGGGCGCCCCCACCCCCAGCACACAGCCTCTGTGCCAGCGGAAAGAGGACTTCGGGTTGGAAGTTCTAACCCACGCCCCGGCCCGAACGGCTAGGGGCTCAAAGGCTCACGCCGAGAGCCTGGCCAACCGATGTGCATCCTCTCCCCGGCCCCTTCCGCACCCCCCAGCGCGGCCCGCCGTCCCGCGGCCCCCCGCACGCACTGCGAGAGCGCCGAGACGTAGTTGAGCGCGTAGGACACAGGGAGGGCGGCGAGCGACAGAGCCGCGATCTTGCCCGCCAGCGGCGGGATGTCCATAGCTGCGGTGTCGGGACCCCGCTCGGCCCCGCTTGACCTCCAGGGCGCTCCGCTCCTCCGTGGTGGCGCGTCTCGGCGGGAGGTTGCCAGGGACTCGGACCGGCCCCGCCCCGCCCCGCCCCGCGCAAAGGTCGCCCCCAGCTGCGCCCAGGTCCCGTCGCAGCCCCGGCCACCCCGGTGCGCCAGGGGAGCCTCCGAGGCCCCACCCCCTTGCAGCGGCCCTGCCCCTTCGATACCGTCACCGGACTCAGAGCGATCCTCAGGGGCCGTCTCGCCCAGCGCAGCTTCCCTCTCTATTAAAGGCTAGATCACGGCGCTCGCGCCCTGGACATCCGGGACTGCCAACTTTTTCTGAGGAAATTCGTTTTCCTGCTCTGTTCTGCTTTTCTGCTTTCTTCATCCCACATTCCGTGCGCGCCCCAAGGAGAAACCAATCTCACTACTTGGGTGCAGTTCCCTTCAGTGTCCTTGGATTTGAATTTTCACTCGGGGGCCACAGACACATCATTATTATTATTATTATTATTATTATTATTATATTCTTAAAATATATTTTATTGCTTTTTTACAGAGAGGAAGGGAGATAGTTAGAAACATCGATGAGAGAAACATGATCAGCTGCCTCCTGCACACCCCCTGCTGGGGATGTACCTGCAACCAAGGTACATGCCCTTGACCAGAATCGAACCTGGGACCCTTCAGTCCGCAGGCTAATGCTCTACCCACTGAGCCAAACCAGTTAGGGCTTATTTTTTTAAAATATATTTTTATTGATTTCAGAGAGGAAAGGAGAGGGAGAGACAGAAACATCAATGATGAGAGAGAATCATTGGTTGGCTGCCTCCTGCTGCACACCCCCTACTGGGGATTGAGCTCGCAACCCCGGCATGTTCCCTTGACCGGAATAGAATCTCGGACCCTTCAGTCCACAGACCGACGTTTTTTTAAATTTCAGAGAGGAAGGGAGAGGGAGAGAGATAGAAACTTCAATGATGAGAATAATTGGCTGCCTCCTGAATGCCCCCCACTGAGGATGGAGCTGGCAACCTGGCATGTGCCCTTAACCGGAATCAAACCCAGGATCCTTCAGTCTGCAGGCTGACGCTCTATCCACTGAGCCAGACCGGCTAGGACACATTTTTATTTTTTAAAAATATATTTTTATTGATTTCAGAGAGGAAGGGAGAAAGGGAGAGGGAGAGAGATAGAAACATCAGTGATAAGAATCATGGATCCCCTGACTCCTGCACACCCCACTCTGGGGATGAAGCCTGCAACCTGGGCATGTGCCCTGACCAGGAATCGAACCATGACCTCCTGGTTCATAGGTTCATGCTCAACCACTGAGCCATACCAGCTGGGCCACAGACACATTTTAAACACGTGTGAAACTTGACAGTCTGGGTGGGGATCATCTCAGGGCAGGCGGCTACAGCCCTGGGTTGGGGTCTCTTGAAGGCCTCTGTGATTCCATGCTCTGAGATCCTTCCTTATAGCCAGGACACCCTGTGGGTAGCTGAGGGCGGGATGGGAGGGGCTACTCACATGGGTGGGGTCAGAGGGAGGTGGCCCAAGATTAAGTGGGGATGGAGCCAGTTAGGTGAGAAGTTCCTGGCAAGGTGAATAGCTCAGGCCTAGGGCTGAGCAGCAGTAAGGAGCCTGGGGCTGGGAAGGTTCTCAGCAGCCTGGAGGCTGTGCTGGGTTTGGGGGAGGTATAAAGGGGAGAGGGACCTCGGAGGGGGCTGCAAGGTGGGAATTAGGTCTCTGCTACTACCTTCAAACAGGCTCTCACCCATGTAGTACTATGGCTGCCGGAAGCGTGTGTGTAGTGCCCACCTAATTCCTTCCTGGGTTGGGGGGGTGGGGGAAGATTGAAACCCTCATCCCTTTTCCATGCAGCCCCTTGGCCTTGTGCCAGCTGGGTCCTATCTCTAAGCCTGGGTAACATGATCTTCTGGCCTTCCCAGAGGCCCCTTGACCATGGGGTGAAGTTCAGGTTCCTCTGGGCTGACTTGAAACTCCAGCCTGGTTTCTTGACCTTCCCAACTCTGACAGTGCCCAAAGCCCACAGGTCTCTTTCCTGTATACAAGATGGACCCTCTTGTACTTCCTCACCCCTTAAAGAACTTCCCACTGTCTCCCCCTCCAGGCAGCCCTCCCTGACAACTGGAGGGCCAGGGGTGTCTAGTCCAGCTCTGTCTAGGGGGCTGGCCTTGCACCCTGGGTCTGGGAGGTATCTGCACACACACACAGCAATTGAGAGACCTCATCTTCCAACTCTCCCCATGCATGGGGGTAAAGTCCATGGGCCGGGTCTGGACAGCTTCCCAGTCACTGAGAATTTAATGGAAGGGTGACCTTGACCTGCCTGGGGGTGGGGTGGGGGGGAACGTTGCCTGGGGACCGCTGGCTTCCCATAGCTACTCATCTGTGCTTAGGACTTTGACAAGGGTCACCTCTTTGCCCTGCCTGGGCACAGCACCCATGGAAGGGGGACGGTGGTATACGGCACCCAATCTACTCTGCTGTTGAGACCCTCCCAGCCCCTGAAGCCCCCACTGAGACCTGGCCCAGGTCACCTGCCCAGCCCAGCTGTTTCTCCTGGCAGCATCAATCAGTGTATTGTTAGTTCACTGTCACAGCCCCCATTCTGATTCACAGTTGGTGCTCAGTGTTTGCTGAATGCAGGCTGGCCCAGGAGCCTGATTCTAGCTTGAATCGAGCCCACGAGCCCACAGGGATTGAGCATGACCCACTGGGTACATGTGTGGTACAGGTGGGTGAGTTGTGGTCCCTTCAAATTTCCAGGCTGATACTTCAAGCATGGCTGCAGCTGAAGATCCCCAGTTGTTTCTGCACAGATGTGAGGTACTGGATCGAGAGACATGGTAGCTCTCAGCACACATTGGCCAGGCCACCCACAGGCCTCACATCCTCTAGGACAGAGGTGGGGAACGTCTAGCCCAAGGGTCTTATAAGGCCCACAAAATCATTTGGTTTGGCCCTGCCAAGGCATTAAGGGTGAGTTAATTAAATGTCTGACCAAATACAGCAGGCTAATTTTTAAGTTAATTTTTTTAAAAAATATGTTTTTATTGATTTCAGAGAGAGGGAGAGGGAGAGGGAGAGATAGATAGAAATATCAATGATAAGAGAGAAACATGGATCAGCTGCCTCCTGCACATCCCCTACTGGGGATGGCCTACAACCCAGGCACGGACCCTGACCGGGAATCGAACCCTGACCTCTTGGTTTATAGGTTGATGCTCAACCACTGAGCAACACCAGCTGGGCTAAGTTGGTAATTTTGAATGATGTTATAAATACCCAAATGGCCCTTGGCAGAAAAAAGGTTCCCCACCCCTGCTCTAGGAGGTGTGAGACATGTTAGCACACAGCTGTCCCACAGAGGCATGAGCCCCAGGGACACGTGTACACCACACAGGTGGGACCCAGTGCAGCGGTGGCAGCATGGGCTGCAGCCATCACTGGCAGGGAATATCATTTGACAGGGAGGTGGGTAGCATAGGTGTGCCCTGGGGAAGGCTAGGCCCTGCCTGGAGATCCCTCCCCAATTCCCTTCCATAGCACAGTGCTAGGCTGGGAGGGCCTGCCCAAGTGTGGCCCTCCTGTCTACTCCAGCCCAGGCTGATGAGGGATGGAGACCCAACAAGCAAAGGTCCAGGTGGTGCTTTTGGATTCCTCAGGTGCTGGGGAGTCTTCACACAGCATCTCATTCTCACCTGCCCAGCCCAGCTCAGCTACTGAAGAACAGGAGGGGTCTCTGGTGATGGCACGACCAGGCTCCCACAGTGGGCAAGCATTGGGACTTTAATACATAGCATGACACTTGAGACAACGGAAAGGGCGGGCAGAAATGCAGTCCAAAACATTCTACAGTCCAAGAATGCTTGGTTGGTTGTCTGGAAGGTATGTTTCTGTGTTTCTCCAGAATACTCAGTAGTAAGGCCGCCTGGGGTTGTTCTGTGGGAGGCAGTGAGATAAAAAGGGAGTGCGTTAATGCTAAAGACAGATGGCAGCTCCTCCCGCCCAGAACCTTTCAGGGGCAGCTGAGCTCACTCCTTGAGATGGCTGGCTTTGGAGAGGAAGAAGGGGCTCAAATGCAGGTGGAGTGGTGGTGGGGGTTGTTGGTGAGACCGGGACTAAGGGAGGAGGGACACTCTGTTACCAGCACTACCACCCCACTACTGTGGACAGTGAGGAACCAGTGGCCATACCAGAGGAATGTGGGGGATGGGAATGCACGCACCAGAGGGTTGGGCCGGAAGCGGTAAGCCAGCATCATCCTCTTGCGGAAGGCCTCGTACTCGTCATCCTCCTTAGAAAGCTCTGCTGGCCGGTCAATGCCAAAGCCAGCGCCATCCACTGTAGTTGTGCCCCTGTGGGGGATGAGGGAAGGTGCAGAATGTGAGCAGAAAAGCAGGCTGGTGTGAGCAGGAGAGCAGATGCCCAGCCTGAGCTGGGACAGGAAGGCTTAGCCCACCAGCCTGCCTAGGAGCAGCAGCAGCAGCTCAAAGTGGGGCTGTGGGGGCCATGCAAGCTGTGCTGGGCTGGAGAAGAGCTAAGTGGGACACACAGGAGGGAAGAGCCTGAGCTGGGCTAGTCACCACAGTTCATAGCTAGGCCTGACTCTGGCCCAGGGACAGGACCAGATCCAGACCCTGGGACTAGTTTGGGATACTCCCTCACCCCCATCCTGTATCAAGGGTCACACTCACTTGTTAACTGGGTTCTTGATGCCCTGGCCCTCTGAGCCTAGACCGTCACCCTCCTTCCAGCCCATCTTCATCAGCATCTGGTAGCCAATATTCTCCACCGTCAGCTTGAATTCCTTGTACTCCGAGTAGTCAGGCTCACGGCCTTCCTGCATGACCAAGCAGCTGTCATCCCCGAGGGCCAAAACACGCCCCCTATGGCCTCACTGGCCACTAGCTGGGACCATCAGCCCATCCGTCCCCCACTTCAGACTAAGTTCCTCCTCCTCAGGGTTCCCATGGTCACACTTCGTGCTCTCTGGTAACCAAGTCAAAGAAGGCAAGGTGACAGTCACACAGGCCTCCTCTACCATGGGCAAGAT